TTTCTCCAGGTTTAGGTTCTACTCTCACATCTTTGGGAGCATCTGAATGTGGGTCAGAAATGGAAAAATTGAAAGGGTCAAGTTTACTTAGATCTTTAGATATGAGAACACAAATCTTTCTTAAAAACTACAACCTCAGAGAAACATTTTGCAACACGACTTGAAAATTTGCATTTTCATGTGTTTCAAAAAGACAGGAGAGTAATAATAGTGTTCTTATTAATTTTCATTGTGTTAGGCAGAAGGATGCGGTTTAATAGTGCATTCAGTTCTTACTCGATTTTTATATTTTAAGTCAAGAAGTTAAATAAAATGTCCTCAGATAACAAAATCCCACTAAAGAAATGTATTTTTTTCTTGTTCGTCTGCTTTATAATCCAACATGCTGCATGATTAAATCAAGCATTATCTGCAGGGAGAAAGGTGTCACAGACATCTGCTACAGTGATTTATCAATATACATTTCATAACATTTCTCATTTAAATAGTTCTGTATGGAGCAAACATCAGTGGGCTTAGACAACTTGATCATCAACCTTATATGTGATTCATTTCAAAATTTCTCTTGATTACCACTGCAAGTACCACCAGTGATACTTGTAATACAGTTTGATACTCTGGGTTCTTTAACAATTAAATGCATACACATGTACAGTTTGAATACCTTACTGGTTAGAAACTAGAAAAAAAGCAACTTTCTTTCACCAGAGATTCAGGAAATGCTTCTAAAGTAAACTAAAAGGCTTTGATGTTCAGAATAGCGTTAATCACAACATGACTCACATTCAACCTCCAGTTTCCTCTGGTTGCTGCTGTTGCTTCCTTCGCTGTTTGATGCAATGCAGGTGTACAACCCTGCGTGGGCTGAAGTTACATTAAATGTGTGGGTGAAAGAGTTTTGTTCATTAGCAGGTTGAGAAAAAAAATATTCTGAGGATGGACGGTCTGGTGCGAAAGATTTTCGCAACTCAAATGTTGACGAAGGGAAGCTTTCAGCATTACAGGTGATTGTTACAGCCTGGCCTTCTGTAACTTTAGAAACCATAGACAGAGAGATGTTGGTGGGGGGAACTGTGGAGAAAAAAAACAGCAGAAAGATGATCTTGTATTGTGGTCTGTATTAAGATGGATGTGACCCAATTTCACAAATCAACACAATTACTTACAAAGTACTTGAATGCACTTGGGTTGACTGGAACTCCCTCTGCCAACTGTGTTGCTTGCATTGCATATGTAACAGCCTTCGTCTGTTCTTTGAACTCTCTCTAAAGTTATATTCTTTATAGTATTCAGTGGTGTCCTGTTGTCGGGGTCGGACTGTTTATAACGGTACCAGGAGAACCAGGGCTCTGGGTTTGCCTTGGTGTCACAGGTAAATCTAAGGAAGCTGTTCACTTTGACTTTATCTGTGGCACTGGTAGAATAAACCTTGCTTTGTGGCTTGTCTTAACAAAATACACAAAAAAGGCAGATTTTCAGATGTTTAAATAGAGTTTCACAGAACATACTAGTGTACAATTGAAAGAGTAAAACTCACATTGAACGTTCAGCTGAGAAAGGTTTGATTTTCCTGAGCCAATACTGTTTTCGGCTGTACATTGGTAAATGCCGCTGTCTTCTGGTTTGATGCTGGAGAAAATATATTCCTTCTGATACCCAACATGTTGTGTATTTTTAAACCAAATAAACTCTCTTGGTTGTGGATTGCTTCTGTTTACATTACAAATGAGTGTAATCTTGTCCCCTTCTCTTATGTCGGAGTAGTCTCTTCCGGTCAGATATTTTATTTGGATATGAACTGAAGGTGGATCTACAGAGAAAATAGATATTTGTTTGTTTTATTTTCTTTACAGCCACTCCTTACCTAACCAAAATAAATGTCAAATTTGCAATAAATATATGAATATTTACTTTCTTACGCAATATTTTGTTTAAAAATATAACTGCAAATGTTTACTAGAGTTAGTATACAAGCTACGGTTGTATACTAACACCATAGATAAAAAGCCATGAAAAAAATATTTATATAAATCAAAAAAATACTCACAGAGCACATCAATTTGGAATTTGTCAGACGTTTTAGTCCCATGGTGGTTCTGAGCTTGGCAGAAGTAAGATCCACTAGCTGATTCTTTAATTGATGTAAAATTAAGTTGAGCTTCTTGACTCTGTTTGCCTTTTTTAATGAGATTAGCTGATTCAACATGAAGCTCTTTGTCATTTTTAAACCAAGAGAAAGTGACATCGGGTCTTCCATTAGAAGAGCACGTCAGAGTCACAGTGTCTCCTTCCTTTACGTGTCTGGGGCTCATCGTAGCAAGTACTGTGTTAGGGGAATCTGTTTCAACCAAGACATGACAAGAAGAAAAATAAATCCACACATAGCAAACATTTATAGCTCACACAAATGATAGATGGAACCTGAGTCTGAAAACTTTAAAGTTACTAGAAAAGTCAGCAAGTACCTATACACTTAGTAAATCAAGTAGATAAACACAACTTGTTCACGCTAAATGGAACAGCAGTGTACCTCCACATAATGGCATAATTTATTTGGTATAAATTGTTTATTTATAAAAAAAAAAAAGAATCAAGTCTCTCCAGCAAAATGAGTTGTGGCTTGAAAGGAGTTATTTGGACTTACATTCTACAGTCAGGGTTGCAGTCCGGATCAAATATTTGCTCTTGTTTTCTGATGTTTGGCATGAAAACACTTTCCCATCATCCTCCCAGATGGCAGTAAAGCTAAGGTTGGTGCTTTTGGTTGTTTCATTTTTATTCGCAATCGTGTGAGAACTTAAGAATTTTGGTAAAGGCCGCTGCTCCAGATTGTCAATTTGAAGGTCAGAATTGCATGAAAGGGATGTAGAGCATGTGAGTGTCACTTTATTATTCGTCATCACAGCCGGTGGTTGGCTAAACGTGATAAGGCATGGGTTTTCTGGAAATAAACACATCAATTTGTTAATAAACAGTTGAAGATAAATTGTGACTAATATAAATAATATTTAAGACATGATTTTGATGACATAAACTCATAAAATCATTAAAATCAGTTGCTGTTGGTCCTCTGGCTTTTTATCAAAACTGTCACGGAATCCTGTTGGCAGATTTAAAGCTTCAGATATATTGATTTCTCCATATCTTTGTAGAAATAATCTCTGAATTTATCCTTAGACTTTTAAAGTTAAATTAATCACAAAATCAACTTTTTTTGCTGATAAAGCCAAAATGTTAGAATTTTCACTTCAAATGTTATACCAGTTTCATAAAACTAAGCCAAAAAAAAAGATACCTTCTTTTTATAACTTTTTATAACGTAATTTGTATTTCCTGTCAAAAGTTAAAATAATGTTTTTTTTTATTCAGCTCACTAATTTGGTCAATTTGATCACAATACCACAACAGGATTTTCTCTGTACATCCTGAAAAAGTTTTTTTTTTTCCTAAACTTACCCTGGACAGCTAGATTAAAAGTTTTTGTGCTCCATTTGAAGGTTCTCCAAACATATCTGAACATATATTGTCCGCTGTCTGTTTTCTTCAGATCGCAGATCAGTATGTTGCACACTTCTGATGAATCCCTCTTCTGACTTGTCGGTGAGCTGAGATACTTGACTCTGTTTTTAAACTCTGGACTGACGGGATGTTCGGTTTCATTCGAGCTGAAAATGTTGGTCCCAACAAAACCTGTGGCCTCTGTCCAATTTGCATCCTTCATCCAGAACCACTTAGCATCTGTATTCATGGAAATACGTGTGTTTGACCTACATTTGATTTCAATGCAGGATCCCTCAGTAGCAGTTTCAGCAGTGTTCATCAAATTGAATTCAATCTCTTGGCAATAATGAAAATCTGCTATGGAGAGAAATAAAAATGAAAAGACAAGAAAGGAACTTTAATCCATAAGCAAAACTATATGATCAGTATATAAGTGCAATGTGGGAAAAAAAGTGTACGTACAATTTATCAGGGTCACAAATATCACCCACTTTACAAAAAGAGTGTTCATTGTCATGCTTCACCGAGTGACTTTCTTTCTTCCGTATTATGTTCACTTTCTAGGTCCCAGAGGGTTGTGATCTTGATGTTAGAAACATTCTAGAGCATTATGAAGAAATACATTTTATTTACAAAGATACAACGGCTAAGGTATTCATTTTAAATTAAGGATAAAAACAGGTTCAAAATCATTACCTTCTGATGCATCCAGTGGTTATAATTATATAAACACAATGAAAGTTAAATAGTTTTATTTTGTACATGACAGAGGTGGATGTTTTTGTAAAATAATTGTGCTGCTTGCATGTTCTTCCTTTGCGTGCATTTGAAGCAGAATCATAACACGTCAACATGAATATTAAGAGAACGTCTCCACATATACTTTGTTTTATATAAACAGAAAGAAAAAACTTTAGAATTGAAGTACAAAATTTAACAAAGCATATGTCAAAATGTCTAAATGTGAAGTGTGGTTAAAAAGGCCCCTAAAGTTTCTGTGAAATATGTCACTTTTTTTCTCCAGGTAAAAGCTGATTTCAAATTAGAAATATTTTAAAATATTTTAAAACCTCCATCAAAATGTTTGAGAAAAAATACAAACTTTTTCTACATTCAGCACAAGAAATGATTCAAACTTGATTGAAAAGGGAACTAAGTAAAATAATGTTTAGACAAAAGGAAAAGGAAAGTTTGTTCCTACCTCAGATGAGCTACTTTATCAGCATGTAGAACACTCTTCGTGAAATGAAAATGTTCTTTAAAAAAGGAAGTTTTCACAGTTCGCATGAATTCTTAAAGAATTTGCATCCAAAATCACACAAGCAGGAGAGCACAGATTCTTCACAGCACGTTTGAACAAAACTGTTTCTTTTTTCAGTTTTCTTGCTCTGGTGCGCACGCAGTTAAATTTCCTCCCACTTCCTCTGCTTGTTTGATACTGCAACATTGATCAAAGTATCTACAATGATATGTACAGAGCAATATTTGTGTTTATTTTACGAGTCTTTAATAGAATTTGAATTGATCTTGCACACAAGTCAAAATGCGTACTTTGAAATTATTCCAGCACAATGCTTCAATGTAAAAATTAAACACATTAACAATGTTTTTTTTCTTTATGATGCCATTTTAATATGGTTGTAGGCATCAAAGTCACACCATGTCAGAAAAAAAAAAGTTAACACTGGGTAACTTAATTGCTTCATATAACTTAACCAGCTGAACTTATTTGAACCAATTAAGTTCAAGTAGTTAAGTTCAACCAAATTAACTTAATTCAACTGGTTATTAAAGTCTGCCTAATTACAAAGAGACACACGGAGTAAGTATTGAATGCATGATGAAAAACTCTGCAAAATAGCACAGAAAGTTCAACAGCAGACAAATAACAGTATTTATGTAGCAATCTTGCTTCCTTATGCCAGTTAATTTTGGTTTGTTTTAGCTGCAGGTAATACAAATACTCTCTATATGGCTCATACACACTGGTACACTGGATACAGATATATTTTTAAATGTCTGAATTTTTCTGTGAACCTCAGGCCATAAGAACACAGTTTCAGTTTGAATGAAATGATCCTGTTATGGAAGATGACAAAGAAAAAAGCAAATAAATATAAAAATAAGAAGAGTTACCCATCTGCCACAGATCACTCCCAGGGCTTCAGAAAATTGCATTAAATGTTTTTCATAAAACCATTTAATTATACATTATTGTAAATGCCTGTCTGCACACTGAATGTGTAAGACTTCACTGCTGAATAAAGAAAGAGAATGCTGAAGCTTTTTATTGTTTGCTATTAGACCAGGCAGAGAAATGCTAGGAAAAGTTAATTAGTTGAGAGTATAAATATGATTAAACTGGATTCTGGATATCACTGCACACAGCACGCCACAGAGGGCTCCTAAAGCACCGTACCAACATTAAAAAGTCTGGAAGTGAGAACATCATGCTGTGTGACGGAACAATAAGAATCTGAAGATGAAACGAGGGAAGATCTTTCAGCAAGACAAACACGGATCTTGAGTAACTCTTTATTGGTGTCATAAAAGTAACTAAAAGCTGTTAGAATCATTCAGCTGGAATCAAAGTAGAAAAGTCAGACCACCTTCAAGGTTCAAAAAATTAATTATGTAATTAGTTTTGCCACATGGGTAACATCTGATGTGAATTTAATGCCATGTATACTCAGTACAGACAACATTGAAGTGTTCAATACCTATCTGTTGATCCATAAATAAAAGCCTTAAACATAAAAGTGATATTACATTGCATAGAAACAGAAATAGACATACACAGGTGTTTGTTTTTATTTTTCCCCTCCCAAAGCAGCTGCCACTATCTTCTCAGCATCAGCAGCCATTTCATCAATAGCACCATTTAAAGCTTGCAACATCGCAGTGAAGGAGCGGCTGGCTGAACGAGCGTGTCTAGGCAATGCCATTTCCACTAACTTTGACGAAACTGTAGCCAAGTCCTTCTCAGCTGCTGCAAGCCTTTTTTTAACTTCCACCTTAGTGACCTCCACTGACAACACACAAGTTCTCAGCTCTTTCAGTCTTGCTGGCTCCAGGTGCCGCTGTCGAGCCAGTCGCTCAACCGATTCATCATCCACGCACAGAGATAACTGGGCTTTTGTCAAAATCCTCACAGCAATGCTTGAGTCCACCATGGATGCCACAAGGGGAACAGGAATGGCTGACATCCCGCCGGATAGGGAGGCAGCTGCCCATATGAGTGCTTTAAATGCCTCCTTTTTCTGGGTGACCATTTTTAATGTGAATGTCGGTAAAGCCAGCAGAAGGGCATGAGCTCGGATCTCAGGAAGGTCTGTGGCCATGTGTGACAGGAGGTCAGGAAAGTCAAATTTCTCAAGATTGGAAGGTTTAACCAGGAAAACTTTAGGTTGTTTTACGCCCTGTGATGTCAGTACTTTCAAACTGGCTTTCTTCTTTTCTTCCAGACTCTTATCTGTTTCTTTTACAGAAGTTAAGAGAAGAAAGTACACTGTTTGTCGCTGCAGAGAAAGGGCCTCCAAAAAGACATCCACACTGTTGGGTTGTATTATCTGTGTGAATGTCATAAAAACAGCATTATAACGAAGGAACTTATATCTGTTCATATATCCCTCTGGTTCAAATGAGGATATGGCTGGGACAGGTGGAAGGTCCCAAAGTCGGAAGTCAGGGTGTTTCGGATGTGGGTAGCCATCTACTTCCTCTGGTTCAACAGGAGACTGAGAAGGAGCTGAACCTTCATCTTCAGGCCCAAGGCCACGAAGGGAGTTTATGAAGGAGACTTTTTCTTCTCCACGATCCCCCACAACAGCTAGGTTTATCCTACTGATGAGAAGGTCTTCCACGGCCTCCTTTACGTCAGATAACTTGTTGCTCTCCATTGACTCTTTGAGAGTTTCAATCAGGTTTAAGCCTTTGAAGACATCCGCCATTTCTGGGAGAGAATAATAAAATATATATCTTAATATATATATATATTATTCAATATATATCATATTTAAGATAATAAAATCTGCACTTGATAGTTCTGTGTAACCTTTTACATGAACCTTCATGAACCACTCTTGATGAGAAGTGAAGGTATCTTTCCACACTACGTAGCTCAGATTATGATTAGTGAGGTAAATAAAAGATATCTCCAAAGTTCAGATATAGAACAGTAGAAGAGGTTTGATTATAGGACTGTCTGTCACCTTCAGTGACAATTATTGCAAATTGGACTGTTCTTGTGTTTATTGTAATTTAAAGCTAAAGAGTGAAATATGCTAATTCTCTGAAAAAATACACTCCATTATTGAGAAACAATGAGTGGACGTATTAAACTATGACAATCTGCCACCTTTAGCCGACATTTCATTTATTGCAAATTGGACGTCAGCTTGCAGACTGTTTGATGCAGGGTCACTACATTTGCAATTTACAGTTATATATTTTTGTTGAATTAATGTTCAACTTCAAGGCAATAAGTTGCTTATGGATAAACAACTCATTAATTTTTTTAATTAGGACTTTAAGAACAACAGTTTTTTGGGGGCAGGCCTCTACTGCAGGATGCAGTTGCCCCTGCTTCTCCCCCTGCAAATCAGTTCCTGGCCAAAAGGGACTGAAAGATAAGCAAACAGTTCCAAATTATCCTGTAGCATAAACCCTCTGAATACAATGAAATCATGAAGTTGATTTTAAATATTTTGCAAAGTTAGCAAATTCCTAATCTTCTTGACTTCAACATGTTGCTGTTCTTTCATAGAAATGGTTTGAGCCTCACAAAACCTGTGTGACAAACAGCCTGTACAATAACACATTGAAAACGAAACTATCTAATTTTATGTCTTAAAAATTTCACACACTTACCTGACTAATGGAATCAGCAACAGCTCCCTGGATTTATTTAGCTATCAGTGCTGATTCCTTCTGCAAGACTGCAGCACCTGACTGATCTATTTAAAGTCTTCGTCCAGCTAGTGGAACGTTCTAATCCTACTGGCTCAGCCTTAATCCTACATTAGGTAAATCCAATATATGCATACTGTGCATGCACATAATACTTACCTGAAGCCACGTCCCCACCTAAAAAAGCCTTTGAACAGCTCAATTTGTATTGAGATTAAAGTGGATTTTGGAGGAATTGTTTGCCCTGAATTCATTGTAGGGGTGAAAGAATCAAGAGACACTTGCAAAATGTTTAGACATTTTATTTGTGTAATTTCTTTCCACGTCACAAGTAAGTTTCATAGGTTTTGCTTGTCTATTATTAAATAAAATAAATGAAGCTTGCAAATTTTACATTACTATGTACAATGACATTTATGCAAAGCACTCTAGGTGCATGAACCAACTGATGAAATGTGATTCATTGTGCAAACAAATTTTCTCAGCAGGTTGCAGATACTTATGCACCACAAATTCTCACTGGTAAGCACAAATGTACGGAAACATGGTATTTATTTACAAGGATCTGCAAGAACGTGTTGACTCCCAATCTATGCAACAATGTCCACTAGTATAGTTAGTGGAATAAGGTAAAACGTAAAGCACTTAAAAAGTATTTTCTATGTACCAAATATTTCCGCTGGGTTATTCCAACAGAATTCAAATTTCTGCTTCAATGTTTAAACTTGAGCAATTATTAGCAATCTTTTTGTTTAGCTAAGACAAACTGAAAAAAAAAAAGAAAAAAAAAAAGAAACTTTTTTTTCCGACTTGCAATAAAGAGGAACAATGTCATGGGGACATGCACTGCTGTTCAAAAACCTTTTAACTAACTCAGCCCAGTTTCACTTTGTTCCTTAAGAGGAACTCCTCATGCAAAACACTTCAGACACCTGCCTGCTTTAGCAGAAGCCACTTTACCATCTGTCAGCACAGTGATTTCTTGCTAACTTAAATATTCATCAGTTTGGATTGTGAATATATTTTTATCTTTTTCTTTCTAGAATTTTTGGTTCATGTTCAAGACAGTTGACACATAAATACAGTCAACTCCAGTGATGCTTTCATCTTCAGTCTGCTAACGTTAATGATTCTTACATTTGATCCTTCAGCTTTGTCACATTAGAATACACTGCTACAGTCTCGCTCTCTGCATCCTCTGGCACACAGAGTTTCATCTCCTTCTCTTCTTCTCGCCCTTCTCCCTTTTCCATCTTGCTTTCTTTTTTTGGCTTAATTTTAGCATACTCTGTGACTTCTTTCTTTGGTTTCTTCTCTGAAGGGGTCGCATCATCTTGTTTGATCAACAAATGGATATCAGAATATTCTATATCTGATGTTCCAGCTTCTGTGCCATTGGATCCTGCAGCTGTTCCTCTGACCGGAATGGGCTCATAATCCACTGTCTGACAACCGTTTGTCTATGTAAAGCATAAAAAGAATTAAAGTTGAAGATACAACATTTTAAGCGATATTAAATAAGCTGACATAACTCAAGGCCTTTAGCACTTTCTGATCATAACCACCAGATGGAGTTGCCTAATAATCTGAATTACCTCTTGGGTCATTGCCATCTCAAGAGTCTCAGATGTACTTCCATCAGACTTGTGCTTTTTCCTACTAAAAAATAAAAAAAGTAAACAGCAATAGTTATTTCAATACAACACAATTGGCACGGAACTTAAAATCATACATATAATTATGAAATATTTAATTTTCTTGTTTTAATTTAGTTCTGTCCTGTTCAATTAATTTAATAAAAAACTTCTATCATCACCAATGAGCATTAAAATTATCTACAAATCTTTCCAGTAGAACACTTAAAAAATAAGTATGTGATTTCGTTCAGTGACACATTTTTAAATTTAGATACATAAGCAAAAATCTCTGAGGAGTAAATTAAAAGTTTACCTGCAGCACAACCACAACAAGGAGAAGATAAATGTTGAAACTAACACCCCTATGAAAAAGGGAATTATTATACCCTTCTGTGTGAAAGTCCATAGATAGTTCGTGATGTGTCCTGCAACAAGGAACAAATTACTACAACAAAAACATCTATGAGGATGGATTTGCACATTTTTAGGAAGTCAACTAACCTTCATCTTCCACCTCAATTATAGAAAGAGTCCTGCTAGTTTTCCCATTTATATTACTGCTGATACAAACAGCAGAAACATTGGAGAAACCTTTCATATTCATGGAAAGGGTGCTTGTTACTGTGTGGTTTGACACAACAGTGTTGATGGAGTAGTCAACATGATTCTCCAACGGTTCCCATGTGATTGTGGGTGAAGGAAAACCTTGACTGATGCACACACAGGTCAGGACATTCTGCTGAGACTTACACCCAGATTTATCTAGGATCTGAGGTTGCTCTGCAGGGAGACAGAATCATGGTTAAAAAAAAACAATCATGCTGCAAAAGATGACAATTAATATTGGATAGAATTAATTGGAGAAGTTTAATAGTTTCACACATCTAATTTCAATATGTTAAAGTTATCATAAGGAAATCAAGTGTGATAAATTACATTAAACCATACACTACGTTTTCTCCATATATTATGTAGATTTTTTTTTCTTTATGATTCGAAGAGGTAAGATTTTCTTTATATTCTAACATAGGTTTTCAAAACCTTGTTTTTCAGGGATTTAAAAAATAGATTTGATTGTTTTCAATCCTTTAAAGTTGATTCCCTTATTATTGACTGCTTGGCTCATCTGAAGTGGAGGGTGAGCGGCTGTCTTGCACATCTTTTATGTTTTATGAAGTTTTTGCAGACTGGACATGTGGCAGAAATTTAAGATATGAGAAGTTCTAACGTTCTTCTAGGTGAAACCCATAATCAACAAAAACAAATACATAGATCTGTCAAATGAAGATCCTGTTTTATTTTAAGTGGGCAAGGTTTTAAATATTAAAAGAGAAACAAATGGAATTAGATGAAAAATCACTATGTTCTCACTTTTCACTTTGATGTGAACTTCTTTGGTAATGTTGATGTTCAGATGTTCTGATGTGCAAATGTACAATCCGTTGGCTTCAGCTGTCGCGTTAAAAATGAGAAGTGTGGCTGACCCAGTGTCATTTTTCAACACTGTGCTCGATCTAGATTTGGTCCAGGTGATTAAAGAAAGAGGCCAACTATCAACGCTGCAGGTCAGATTCAGAACGTCGCCTTCTGTAACAACAACGTCTCCAGTTATTTTAGGGCTCCTCCTATCTGTAAAATGAGATTTTGTACAATGTATGAAAAATTGAGGTGAAATGTTAAGAGAATGTAACATTTAGCTATATTATGTGGAATATGTTATTTAACATATTTTGATTTATCAAGTGAAAATGCTTCAGGTAAGGTACTTACATGTAACAGTAACATTTATGTCTTGGGTTTGTGAGGTTGGAAATTTTGTAGTACAGAAATACTGTCCAGAATTACTTGTTGTCACGTTTTGAATGATGAGGGAGGATGTTCCGACTGTAATTCCAGTGTCATTGGTCAGGGTTTTGTTCATGCCGAGTTTTGTCCAAGTGATCTGAAGAGGGTGGATGCTCTCGACACTGCAGGTCAGATTTAGAGCACTTTCCTCTCTAACAGTTGTTTCTCCCGTGATCTTCATTTCCCATACAGCTTTAAAAAAAAAGTTGTGAAATTTTTAAATTTATTTTAAAAACACACACCGAAAAGAGGTTTAGAGTTTGTTTTTTATCCAAGAAAACAATTGAAACTTACTTTTCACTAATACATCCACACTCTCTGTTAGAGTGTTGTTCAGATGTTTTGCTGTACAGAAGTACTTCCCAGAATCCTCAGCTGTTACATTAGGAACTACTAGAGTGGATCTGCTGATGTCTGTTTGAGTTTCATTAATCAGAGGGGTGTCTCTGCCACTTTTAGTCCACATTATTATAGATGAAGGGAAGATGCTTCCAGTGCAGGTCAGGTTGAGAGTATCGCCCTCTTTCAACATTGTTTCTCCAGTGATCTTAAGTTTCTTCTCATCTTTAAAACAAAATTTAATAAAGTTCAAAATACTGTAACTAAACAACAGATATTGAATCCCTTTTCTAAAAAACAATGCTGAGATGGTCACAAATAATTCATATTCATATTTATTTATATATCTATCTCTCTCTCTCTCTCTCTCTCTCTATATATATATATATCAAAATGAGTAAACTCACATTGCACTTCTACGTCCACCGTCCGATTCCTGTTCTGGTGCAGTGCTGTACAAATGTACTGACCAGAATCCATTCCTGTCACATTGCTTATGAAGAGGGTGGCTGCTCCAGTACCATTGGTTATGCTTGTGTTGGAGCCAAGTTTGGTCCAGATGAGGAGAGTTTGAGGAAAACCATCAAAGTGGCAGGTCAGATTCAGAGTGTCACCGTCCTTAATGGTTTTCTCACCTCTGATTTCTAATTTCTTCACATCTGAGACAAGATATCAAGAGAGTTATTGAACAATTATAAACAAAATAAAAACGTTTACAAAATTCAGTCTGGAATTAGATCTTATGTATAAATCACTTTCTAAGAAGTCAAGAAAAAGAGCTTTTTAGAAAAAATACTCAACTATCTAGAGGATTTAATTAAAACAGAAAAGACAGAAAATCATTGGAGACAAACGTAAACAAAATAACACTGAAATCATAAAATATAGAAAGTATAGAAAGTTTGTAGCAAATAAATTTCAACAAATAAATTTAGAATTTACACAAATAAATGAAGTTGTAAAAAACTTAAAGAAAAGTCTATTTATTCAGGCTTGTACAAGAAATCTAAAATACTGGGGAAAATTTATGAAAAATAATACATTTAAAAGCCATTACTACCAAATAAAAATACAATTTAAAACCAAGCTAAGAATAAAAATATAAATTAAACACAAAATGCAGAAAAAAACCCTAAATTCAAATAAAAATAATTTTTAATTTGCTGCTGCAAAAAAAAAAACCTTAACACTTTAGTTTTTTCTTCTCTATGCTTACTTATGACAGTAATAATAACAATAACCCCTTTAGTAAAGTTTTTCAGATGTTTTGGCATTAATGTATCAACTATCCTGTAAAAAAAAGAATCTGTTGTTTTGTGAATCTGTTGTTTTCCTCCTACTGGCAGACAGAGTGACTGCATGAATTAAGTCAAATTAACACAGCATTCTGAAAAATTGATCAAAGAAATCCTCATAGAAAAAAGTTTTAGCTGTGCTTCAGAAACAGTGAAAAGAAAAATAAAATAAAGAGGCGTGTTTTACTCACAGGTTACATTGAGGACTTTTCTCACATTCGCTGTTATGTTATTTGGGCAGGTGACCTGACAGGTGACTGCAGAGCCATGATGTTTGGCTGAAGGTTTAAATGTCACTGTTGAGTTTTGTTTTTGAGATTCTGTAGCATTATTTATGTTAAAGGAATTGTTCTCCATGGACGTGGTCCATTTCCATTCAAACACAGGAGTTTCATCATTAGAGCAGAGGTCAGCGGTGCAAGTCAGTGTGGTTTCCTGTCCTTCTATCAGCAGTGGAATCATCAATGTGAGGTTTCCATTCATTCCTAAATGAAACATAGAACACTATTCTTTGGAAAGGGGATGATGTAAATGAGGGAGCAAAGAGCAAGAACTAATTTTTATGTTGCTGAATAATGCAAATATGAAGTTAATAGATTTTCTGATGTCATTTAAACTTCTTTGTTAATGTTGTTGCTTCTCTTGTTCCTTAGAGCATATGTTGTGTTTTCTGTAGTCACGGAGGTAAAACATTAAAACTTTCCCCCCACTTTGTAAATTTCCAATTGCTTCTCCCAACACACACACCACACACACACACACACACACACACACACACACACACGCAAACACGCCTACGCACACACACAAATGTTTTTACTCTGATGGCACCAAGCAATTAATAGTTTCATGAATTATTCAGTCACTTCTTAATGGTGCTCAACATAAAGGGGGTCACAGTCCTATTTCTACCCCCTAACTTGTCCCATATTCACCATTTTGGGAACTGGTGAAACCTAAGTGCTTCCACAACAGAGGTTTACTAACCATCAGAGTGTTACGCAAAGAATTGTAAGGAAGAAAAAAGAAAGCTTAAAATACACTACAAAGGGAGAAACAACAGTGCAAAAACAACACAAAGATATATAATATATAAAAGGATAGTATCACTCCTACACAACATTAATTTCAGGCGTTCTTATGGCCAAAGTTGTAATCAAACATCTGGACATGCAGACTGCCTCTACCAACATTACGAAGCAAAACAGTATATTAAGATCTGGATGTAACTTAACTTCATTTACATGTGACATCTGATGAGCAAACACTTTTGATAGTGCAGTGTATTTGTTTGAAACAGAAATGCAGAAATGCAACACCCACATACTTTTTTTAGCCACGGCACATTTATAGCTTTAGATAAAATGATCAAATCTTTTTTTTAAAATGGCCTGCAGGTTTATGTTGTTTAACGGTGAATGGAAACTGGACAAGCGAGACTACAGTATTCAAAAAGGCATTGCAGATTGAATAATTTAGGTTTATTTACTTTTAGTAAAAGAGAGTTAGTTTAAAATATGCTTTATACCTGAGCTGGAACTGATGAAGAGTAAAATGAGCCAGGTGAGAATAAACATCTCGATTAATTCCAGTGACTCTCTGGGTGAAGACTTTTTTTTTCTTGCATATACAAAGATGATCAAACTGAATCAGGAACAGCCACACCTGTCAACACAGATGTTCATACAGGATGTTCAAGTAATTCACACAGATCTTCAGAAATTTGACTGCACCAGTCCCACAGGAATTAATTCAACCACCCAAAAACTCCCCTGAAACGGTTCCAAATTTCACATCTATGAGCATTATTCATTCCCAATGAAATAATTTCTATTTTACCCAACACTTGATGGCTAACATTTTAAAAATGTCAACAAATATTTAATTAACTTTATCCAGAAAGACATCATAAACATATTGTTTTTTACCTGCATGCCCTTTTCTTCTGCATTTCGCACTCTGGTTATTTTTAATGTGTGACTCTTTCTTTACTTCCCCTGCTTCTTCCTTCTTTTGGTATGCGCCCTTGTTGCCTAATCTCGCCTTCCTTCTCACCAACTACCCAGATGTACAGAAACAAACTAAACTTTAGCAGTTTTCCTTTTATGCATCTGACTTCAAACATTTATTGCAAGAAGAATAGCAAAGTCTTTTATTGTAGTTTGTAGGAAAGGGAAGATCAGGGCGCTTACGCGAACACATGCATATAAATAAACAAAGAGGAAACTAGTCATCTTGCGGTACCAGCAGTGTAGTGCTCTTTCTCATTTCCTTCAACATAGATTTTTAAAAATATGCATAGTACTAAGTGCTCTAAATGATTGAGTAATTTTATTTTATTTTTTTTTCCAGCAGTGAGGGTGTGAAAAAACAAAACAAAACAGCTGTCACTCGATGAATGGAATCATTACATGGAAATTAAAACCCAGGTTTCATCTTGAGGAAGCACCTTTTAGGTTTCATATGGTGTAATACCTAGAACAACTGTTCACAGCAAAGTCACTCTGTTGAATATTTTTGTACTTCCCCAAAGAACTTCACTGTATTTGTCCATTCCTTTCTATATTTCACATTCCACCTTAGAGTGACACTTTCCCATAATTAGTTTTGCATATCTATCTTACATGCCAAAAGAGGAAGTAGGTATTTATCAAGAAAATTGCGTCCTACATTTCAAAGCAATAAAGTGTAACGTCTCAGATTATTACAACAAAAGTGTATATGCAACAAAGGTATTGCCTAAAGAAAGACACATTTTATTTCAGATGCTACTCTGTACACAGGAAAAATAACGCACGTGATAGCTTGTAAAAATATATTTTCTTTGCGAAAAACTACTACTTAAAATATTTGTTTTGTTAAAAGAAGCTTCACTAGAACCTGATTGCCAGATAGCCATATTTGAAAACCTGAAAAATCATAAAGTAACTTTCCATTATTCAGCTTGATTGTCTGGTCAGAGGATGAATTAGGTGCTGAAGGTGTTGAAATGCAAACTGCCAAAGGATTCAAGTTTTTTTCTGATTTGCCTTCACTCTACTGTTTCTTTTGTACAAGCTCGAATTTAATTATTTAATGTATTTTGTTCTTCAAGATCTCATTACATATTCACCCACTTTTTGGTTTACCTGTTCAAAACATAAGCACTCAAAATAATTAGAAATATCTTCATTAATTTACAATTTCTCTCATGCAAATCTGTCTTCTATAAAGAGGAAAGATGTATCCTTTCTAAACTGATGTACAGAGTTCAGTTCTCATCCATGACTTCCTTGTTGTAATAAAGCTGGTCAGCCTCTCCTATGACCTCTTCAGCCACCACAATCTGGTTTGCCTCCTCCTGATGCTCTATCATTACCTCCGTCTCATAATTTCCCACCAAAATTTCACAGCCCATTTCTTCGTTTTCTTGTGCCACCTCCATTTCCCCTCTCTTGATCTCAGCATATTCAGTCTCTGTCGTATCCTCCTTCTCTTTGGCATCTGCAGGATTCTTCTCTTTCAGTGCAGAGAAGTCAATGTCCGAGTACACACTTTCCTTTGGTGACATGTCTAAGTCTACCAAGTCCCCACAAATTTCCTCTCCACATTCTGCAGCTGCTTGATTCTGGATGCCATCATCCTGGAAGACTAGGGTGCCATCATCCTGCACGACAAGGATACCGTTATTCTCTACGTGAGGTACCTTGTTATCCCAATCCGATTGTAAAATGTAAGAATTACGCATGTCAAAAGACAGATGAATGAAGTTGAAGTAATTCACAACAAGTCAAAACTATTTCCAGAATATTCGCTACTGAAGTTCCAAACCAAGGTTTAGCTTGCTGGTAATGTTAATGTAAGATGACCTTTGTAAAATGTGATAAAAAAAAAAAAAAACTTCACAAAGTTTAGTTTCTTCATCACTTTGATGAGAATCCCACAACACCACAAAACAGCTGATTTTGGAAAAACTGCTTTGGGCAGGAAGGCTTATTGTGCTACTATACAGCACTGACCATCTTAATTTTATATTGTCGTATATGAAAATCTGTCTGAACAATTTTAATAAAAATCTTTTTTATTATTATTACAAGACAGCTTTGTATCTGATTTTTAATGTAAACATGGGCTTAATATTGTTGTAAATTAGATATTAAATTGATGAAATTGGATTACTGTCAATACAGTCAAAACTAATATCTTCATTATTTTACGATATGTTCTGATAAATCCTGTAAGTAAATTGCCCAACATTCTGCCATGTTCAAAAATGAATGGGTCAAAGTACCTTGAAAGCAGCGTCAGGGTTTAACAGTTCCAGCTCATCAGTAGAATGAGGGCTCTTCTTTTTGCTCCTAAAAAGCAATCAAAATAAAAGAAAAATAAATAAAGAAGCAAATTATTTATTGATATTTGTCACTTTACCATCTTATTTTTAAGACCCTGGATTTAATAATTTTTTAACACCACAAAGAACTTCATCATACAGTCATACTATGACCAGTCAGCCACAGTACATGATAAATAGGCATTCACACACACATTCACACACTGATGGTGATGAGCTACTGGATTGTAGCTGCAGCTGCACTATGGCTCACTGGATGCCATGCACTGCCACCAAGGGTCCCTCTGACCCTCACCCGAAGGCAAGGTAGGTCCAGGGTCTTGCCCAATGAACAGCAGAGAAGGATGGAGCAGGACTCGAACCAGCAACCTGCCAATTACGGGACAAAATCCCACCGTCTCCACCAACGCCCCCATAAATGACACATAAATTACTTTACAACAGCAAAGGCCAGTCACCATAGGATTTTCTTTACTTTATAGGGTAGTAGGTAATCAAAAAACATAAAAATAAAAAACTAGGAAGTGAAATATATTTGTATAGACTGAGAAAATAATTTGCCTGCTGCATATTAATAAGGCATGCTATGTTAATTATTATGTTAGTTTCTTCTATCTACATCTCAATGATGAATAAAAATATAATTCATTATAATGAGGCCAATAATGAAGACAAAAAAAGAAAAAAAATAACAAAAGCAGAACTGTCACATTATAATCTGAAAAGTATTCATTTATAGCGCAGTATAAATAATTTCTCAAAATCAGTTTAATGACTGCAGATGAAAAGTGCAAATAAATAATAAAATAACTCTTGATGTTTGGTTGAGTTATTTTTTCAGAAGACATACAAAAGAAGGAAATAATAAAATTTATTGGCAGAAAAGCTTTTACTAGTTAAATAAATGTTTAAGGAAAACACACTCTACCTGCATTTTGTCGCAAGGCACGCAATCAAGGTTGTAACCAATGATCCGATCAGAAATCCAACCCCAAAAACAATCAGGACGGGAATCATCTTTGCTTTTAAAAGTTCTACCAAATGACTAAAAATATTTTGATTTTCTGCAGGAGAGAAAGAAAAAAATCAGAGTAAAATAGATTTAATTTTATTAATAATCCAAGCTTAAATTAAATATTTGTTGTATTGTAATTACAATATAACTATGACATGTTGTAGTTTACTTACTTTATTTGTCAGAAATATCTACCACTTCTAAGATAATAGTAAAATAAATTGAATATATACAAGTTGCCAGTTTAATGTACAGAATCTGGGTCCTTACTTTTAAGTACATTTTCTCTGACTTGAACTTTTTGACCAAGATTTAAAAGCAGGAAACCTGTCACTACTGCAGGCTTCATTTATGTTTTCATTTAAAAACACATAAACATGCAATTTCAAAAAACACAAAAACTAAATGTCCATTAATCTTTGAATGATATAAAAATAGACATTTGGAATTACTAATTATAGAAACATGAGGCAGAAACTTATGTCTAAGTGCGTCAGACATTTTATCAAACAATCGCAATAAATAAATAAATTTGTTCTCAAATCAATTTATCTTGTATGATGTGAAATATTTCCAAGATGGGAAACAACTTTTTTTTTTCTGATTCATTATATGAAACAAGTCAATTTGACCATCAGGATCTCCATGATTTACTTACTTATTTATTTATTTATTTTATAAAACAATTTTTCTTAAGTCAATTTTAAAGTGAAAAAGTAAAACTTTACATTAATACTTACGGTTCATGTTAAGAGTTTTCTCTACTAGTATGTTGCAAGTAAAGTTGACCCTGCAGGTAACTTTTATATTGTGAAGTTTAGCTGAGGCATTAAAAATCAGGCTTGATTTGTGACTCTGTGTGTCATTCATCATAATAATCATGAATTCAGTGTTGTTTGTGATTGTGAGATTGTCCTTCTCTGCTGCTTCTTGGTATATCCAGGTGAACTGAGGTTTAGATCCAGAGCAGAAAGCAGGAACAGAACAGGTGATGTTCTTCATAGTGGTCATTTCTAAAGTGATGTTTATTTCCTGGACTGTTTGAAGAATAGAAATGCAAGACAGTTGGTGAGAAATTGGAACGAGACTTACTTTAATTTATTGGAACTGTTTTCTTGTATACCTTCAACAGTAATGTTTGCTTCAGAAACATGTGTGCAGCCGTTTTCATCTATAGCGGTGACTTGATAAACTCCAGTGTCAGAAGTCGTAAGATTTTTGATGATGATGCTGCAGTTCTTTTTCTTTACATCAGGCTCCAGCAAAGAAACTCGTTTCATAATTCCAGAGTCAGCGCTGGTATTTGTGCTGGAGTTAAATATTGGCGTTTTGCCTTCTCCAGATTGGTTATTTTTGGACCAAGTAAAGCTGGTGACATTATTTTCAAATGAACATTCTAAAACAACACATCTTCCAGCTGCTGCTATTTGGTTTGTGGGTTTTAGAGTGATAGTGAATGTTTTGCCATCACATGTCTTGTCATTGCTTTGCACTGACTCTGAAATGCCTAGAAGAAGCAAAAAGAAATAGCAACAAAAAACTTTTATAGTGAATAAAGCAAAGCTTTTGGATTAGACAGAAAGGTGCTACTTTCACAAATTCTTTGCATGTAGTTTTTTTTTCTTAAGATATCAAGGAGCCTCAGATGACCAAATAGTAATCGTAATATTACTTATCAAAAAAGTTTAAACATTGTTTCTTTTACCTGTAGCAAAGAGCAGAGTTACCCAGGTCAGAGCAAGCATCTTGTCAATATAAGCCAGTTTGTACCTGGAAAGATCACATTATATCACTGAGCTTGAACAAAAAGAAGTTAAGACATAAAATTAATATTTTGATGAAACTGTTTCAGAAACCCCTTCATGCCTATCAGCCCAGATGTAAATACGGAATGTGGTAAGCTTCATTGGTCTTATATTCCTTTAAATATTCCTTTAATACTTGGATTTTTAAAAATAACTTGACAAAATTTTCTTATTTGAGGCTATAAATTATCATCACATAATTAAGTGTAGATGTAATTCTGAATTTAGCCCCATAAATGTTTCATTTTAAAAATAACATAAGGCATCACAACAGAGTTATTATGAGAATCAGAGAAAATGTGTAGAAAATGAGACCTTACCTTATTCTTGCTGAATCTTTAGCTTGTTTCCCCTCACTGAGCTCTGCTTTCTGCTTCCTTACTGAACTGACTCTTATTCTCTTCCTCCTCCTTTTCTGTTTTTCTTCTTTACATTACAGGAAGTCCCTCTGCACATCACTGCTTCTCAGTTCCTCCTGGAAACAAACTTGCTTTTGCTACAGTGTCACAGGCAGTTGTGAGGTGATTTGAATCTCAGGTGTGCAGCCCAGTCTCTGTGAGGCCACAAACAGGAATTATTTCAAATGATCATTTTAAACTGACTGGAGGAAGACAGATAACTTTGTTTTTTTTAATTTAAGATGACAACAACTATAATGTCATTAATTGAACACTATACAATGTATTGTGCACAAAATCAGCAAATCTTCAATCAGTAAGCATCTTTGACTTTAATGTAGCATAAATACAGCTATTGGTTATTTCAGTGCAGCTGCTTTCTCTGTCAAGGGTCAAACCTAACTATTCTCTTTACACTGCCTAAAATGGCAATATGACATCTCATGAATAACTTCCTTCCCTATAAAGCATCTTGTAAAGACATTTTAAAGCTTCAGAATATAACTTTCACAAAAATACATTTTACAAATATTTCTTACATATTTGGTCACACTGTCATCTTGTTGTGATATACATAACGTATAGCATTATACATGCATTATGTATAGCATCGATACATAATGCTATACTTTATGTATTTCTTCATTTTAAGTTAAAGGGGTCTTTAGTTTATTCTTTCTCAAATCTGAGATTGCTCTGAGTTTCTTACTGAGCTTCTTTTACCTTCATCCCAGGTCAGGAAACGTTGTCTGGACAAGCTTTTCATTTTCCTTTTTTGACCAAACACTCAGAATCAAAACCCTTTTAAAGCTGATAAATCTTGATTTTCCCTCAGGTTGATTTGAGGACAATAGCATTCCCAACTGTGCTACCTGCAGTCCACTTATAAATTAATTTATTTATCTATTTCTATTATGACAAAAGGTTGCTAATTGTTATGAGACTCCAGCTCTCACACACTAAATCCTCTGATACAAGCATCACCTAAAAACAATGAACATACTTTATGACAAATCTTTTTCCAAGCAATGAAACAGTTCCATTTTTTTTTAAATACTCTTGGTGGATAACAGTTATATATGAGCAGTAAGAGTAAATTTGTGCTCTAGTGTTATATGATTTTTAAAAAATGCATTAGGCTCACTTTTTTATGCACCACATGACATTTTCTATGTCATCTGTGAAATGAAATGATCAAAACTCCACCTCATATAACCTAATAATTCATAAAAATAGACATGAAGACAAGTTCAATGTGGAAAGCATTTCCAGAATAACTTCTGTAATTTTCACTGCCAGTAACTCTTTTAGTTTTGACATCACTTTTCCTGAAGACTGCAACCCAAATCATCCTTCTTTTGTTCGTGCCGTAATGATGGCAGTGAAGACTATTTTCTATTAACATAGGAACACACAAAGAGGTTACTTTGTGTGTTACTTAGCTCAACTAAATTCAGGCAATTGAGAATCTTGGAAACAAAATTTTTAAGGGAGAAGGATGTTGAATAATTTTTATGTTAATTGCTTAATTTTTCTTCACTGTATGAGATGCTGTCTCCTGAGCTGAGATAATGGTGATTAGAAACAAAATTAAGCAGAATTAAAAAATAACTTTTTGCACCCATTTCATCTGTTGTTTATTTGATGTTGCTGATTCATTTGCTGATTCATTTGAAAGTAATTTTTTCTTATGTTATGTATATTTTATAAGGTGTTCTCCAATATCACTAGAGGGCTCTTTTAAAAAGTTTTAAAACATACTTTTTAGTCATAACAACAGCAGTGTCATTTGCCAATAGTGATGAGTTCCTCTTTCTTTTAGAAGGGCAATATTGGACAGTTGCAACCATATTATGAGAACAAACTTTGCATTGTAACGCACTAACTGAATAACTTATCTGAGTCAGTTATTCAGAATAACTGAATCTGAATAACTGATTCAGATAAGTTATACAAGTGTGAAAAATAGCTTCTTAAATTAGGGGACGCATTAAATATTCAAAGAGAACTGTGACTTTCTGTGGCTTTTTGAGCTGTATGACTATTTTTTCTGTGGCCTCTTATCCATGTGGGGTTGCAGTGGGTCAGGTGCCTTGCTCCAGCAGCCATTGGCTGAAATGCGGCATACATCTAGGACAGTTTGCCAGTCCATCACAGAGACGTAGAGGACCAACAACCATACATGCACACACTTATAAGATCAGATTAAAGTATTCATTTGATCTAACAGTCAAGTTTTTTGGAGTGTGGGAGGAAACTAGTGTAACTACAAATAGCTCACACATACACAGGGAGAAAATGTAAATTTCTTGCAGAAATACGTTCTTGCTGCAAGGCAGCAACACAACCAGCTGCCCCATTATAAAGCTTTATAATTTAACAGCTAGTTTATAGAAATGTTAATAGATAAAACCGGAAAATCTATAAATTAATCAAAATCTTTACCAGTTACATTCTATAGTGGAAAAACACATGCTAATTGACAATAGAATGAAATGTTTGAACCACATATTGAGCTCTGAATAGGGCAACAAAAACAGAGAAATAGCAGCTTCAAGCCATGCTATTTAAATGTTTAAATGCACTACACTTGCTCATCTCACCACTATGGCCATATTAAGAAATCAGGTAAGAGAGTTAAATGTCAAGCAGAGGAAATAAGTGGTGGTTTAGCTGTGAAAATGGGCCCCCTATGTCAGAGTCTTGAATGCCTCTGATGTCTTCTTTTGTTTCCCCATTATCATGGCAGATAAAACATGCAACACTGACATTCTTGTGCCTTTTAAAGTTGTAGTGGCTGTTTGTCATCATGACAAAGAACATGATGTGCTGGGCAGACATGTTTGAGAATACAAAGCTTTGATATTTGAAATCCCCTTGTTGACTTATCCAGCATATCTACTGAAAAACATTTCTACTGGGATAATATTTGGTCCTCATGATGAAGGACCAAACATTTTTAATTCTCTAATTAAACTCAGAACATCTCCTGCAATAATAGTTGCATTTCAAATGATTTTAAGTCTTTTGTCGCTAGATGTCAAAAAGATTATTTTGGACGAGTTTAATTTAAGGACAAAGAGAAAAAGAGCAAAACAAGGATCATGCAAATAATATTCTCAAGTTTTTGGCAGCCTTTACAAAGAGGGCCCACGGGATTTCATGTTTTAGATCTGTCTCTGCTCCAGTAAACCAGATCCAAGTGATTGCTTTTGCCTTGTCAGTATGCCATAATATGCTGCAGAAGTAATCATCTATTCTTTCAATAGGTTTGTGGCAGGAACAAAGCACTTAAACACACAGGACAGTGGGAACTGGTGACCAGGGTTGACAAACTCTAGCATAAATTACTAAAACATTGTGCAGATTTAAATGGAAGAACCAGCATATGTTTCATACATGTGGATGTGCCATCACTCTTGACTTGATACATAAATCCAAAGTGTTGTTCTTTGAATAGCCCCCTTTAAAATGGAAGTGAATATTTCTGAGGATTTAAATATACAAGTTGTTTCAAGTAACCCTGGATGTTTGACTTTTGGACTATTGCAACAATTGTATCCCACTGTCTCTGGATATCCATCCAAATTGACCAACACAATTAAAAAATAAGAAATCTATTCTGCATTCTTAGAAAAAACATATTTAGAATAACAATGAAGCCATTTTTTTTCTTTCAAACCCTTTAGATTTTCTGTTTAAGTTTGAATGCAAAAGGTTTTTTGTAACATAAGTCTGTGTCATATGGTTCTCAGAAGAAGCACCATTTCAATATGTCAGTTCTCTGTGAATACTAAATAAAACTATAACACTTTTTTTCTAGAAGCACAGCTCTAAACATATTCACCATTTTGCCCACATTAAACATTCAAACCTTGCCAATACAAAAAGAAAATAAAAGAATGACCATTTATAAAAGAATTAGAAATACCACATTACATGTGATAAAAAAAAATAAAAAATATTAGCATTCTTAGCAACCTTTCAGATAAGAATAGTTTCTGCATAATTTGAGGTTAGGTTTATCCTACAAACTCTGACGCTTCAACAAAAAACTCACACCCTTCTCTTTTAATAGATCCTTCATTTATTGTTGCAGTTAAACTTGTCTCTCACCTTTTGTAATTAATGCATTTTCTGTTAAACAGGGAGCTTATTTTCTACTTGGTAAAAAGAGATCATTTCCTGTTATTTACAGGAAACGATTGTTTTGGACTCAGTCACCACATAAAAACAAGTTCAAGTTTGTTTCAGTTTCTGTAGTGCAACTTACAGCAGTCGTAATTTTGAAAACTGAAAAAATGTAAAAATAAACTGATTTCTGGAGCATTAATTTTGAGACAAAAGGGGGATTTTTTTTAAACTGTGGAGTTTAATTTAATTTTAATACATAAGCCTCTTGTTGCCATAGGTAAAACCCATATTTCAATCACATATTACTAACATTTCTGTAATCAGCAAGTTAATATGCATGTTATTTATAGTTAATTAATATTATAAAACATTATAATGTTTTTGGTCCACATTTTACAGCCTGAATAACTGCAAATTACATCCAAGATGAAGTCCCTCTGTTTTCCTGCAGAGTGGAAGAATGGAATTTCATAACTTATGTCCTTTCTTATATTTAGTCCATACTTTAGGATGTGGTGGAAAACGTACTACACTGAAGTTTACATTAAGAGCTCCACATACCTTTACTCTGATATCATTAGTAATTTTAGCTGCTCTTGCATTTCATTTTTGCTTTTTTTTAGAAGCTAGAAGAATGTAGAATTTGTCGCACTCAAAGGTCAGTGTGGCAAATCAATTGAGTAATCATCAGTGTGGGTTGAAACAATGCATTAAATATAAAATGATTGTTTCTTACGACTGAAACAAACATCTATTTTGACAGATTTTAAAACGTGGGTAAACGTGGATTTTGTGAGAATGTGTTGTAGTTTCTAAAAGCTCCCAAAAGAGGGCGACAAAATAGCATCTCAGCTGATTCTAAAGATCCGACGTTTAAAATATTATAAATATCTACACTTTATGTTCTTTAAAAACAGGAGATGAATAAGTGCTTTCACACGTATATTCATTAATTCAGATTCATTCATTTATTCATTCAGATAAATTTTATTTTGATAAATATACAACATTACAAAAAAGAAACCAAACTAAAGAAACCAATAATTAATCAAAATGAATCATTCATAGCCTCAACAGTCTTATGTCCAGTGTTGTAAGCACATTGGACATAGATGATTTGTCATGTGTTGTACACATATTAATCCACTGTTCTGTGGGATTAGAGAGTGCTATCTGATGGTGCTAACTGGATTTCTTAATGCAAGGTTAATTTCTTCAACATTCTTCTTTCTGCTCAGTCAATATGGAGAGTCTGGGCATTCTTTGTTGTTTATCTTTTCTGACTATACATTCTGTGTCAAGGCTCTCTTTAGAAGTCTTCTCAAAATGCTTCAAACAAGTTTTATTCTGTTCACTGATCAATGTTTTTAGTTAAGCTCTTCTACATTAACTTTCTATCATAAACTAAAAATACAGACATATTTGGAATAAAACATACAAACAAATGAGACATAAACAAATCAACTAGATCTTTTTCAAAAATTATTGTCTGATGAGCCCTTTCTAGCTAGCTTTATATTTACAGTATGAATACGTTTTCATTTTTAGCTTATCTGTATTACTAATGTACAAGTATGATATAATGCATGAGCTCGTGTGAAAGTAAAATCTGTACATGTTTATTGAACCCTACTGTCAAATTGGAATCAGCAAAACTCCTGGCACATCCAGGATATTTGCTGCAAACATCACTAAATCTAAAGTTTCTCCTCCTTTTTCTATAAACTTTAAGATGAGTAGATGATCAAGGACAAGTGGATGTATGCAATGGATGGATGGATGCATAATGCATAGAGAATCTACACAAAGTTTTTTTCTTCAGACAGGTTGCTCCACCGTCAATGACTCAGTATAAAATGCTGTAATGCCATTGCCAGAGTGTGCACAGTATAGCGCAGTTCTTAGATCTCAACTAAAGCATCTTTGACGGTGGAGTAAACTGCTTCCACTTCATTCTGCTCCTCTGTGACACAATGTTTCATCTGCTCAGCATGTTTTGTTGTCAAATCCTCATCTTCACACTCCAGCGTCTCACATTCCTTTTTACTATCATCTTTCCTTTGCTCTTTCAGTCTAGTTTTAATCTCTGCATATTCAGTCAAAGTGCTCGCTTGTTTCTTTGCTGCCTCTTTTGTACTCCTTCTCTTCATGATTGAGAAATCAATGCTGGCATATTGCACATCTTTTGAATCTTCGCTCGTTTCTGAAGCCGACTTCTCTCCTGCAATAGGTATGTTCACAGCTTCCTCTTGCGCAGGGGTTATGTCACTTTGAACATCCTGACCATCGTCGATCTGTCAGGTACAGGGAGAAACTAGATATAAAATAACACACAGCACAGAGAATCCAGACAAAGTTTTTTTCTTCAGACACCTAATAACGCTAGTTATTAGGTGTCTGATAACTGACAGTGACTCATTTATGACCAGTCTGAAAAGTAGAATAGCTCTCACTGATGAATCTTTACTCAACAGTTTTAAAACCTATTGAGATGCTGACATGCAGCTGCATGAATCACAATCAAATCTTTGTTTCCATTTATCTTTTTACCGACAAATTTATTCTCATACACAACAAGCACTGCAAAGATTTTTTTTCTTTTTCAGCCATAACTTTACTTTTGTTGTAGATGTGATGTCAAACCTGTTAAAATGTACATATTAAACTGCTTTTCCAAACTGTTCCATCATTCATTAATAATGGCTTTTTTGAACAATGGTAGTACTGGAAACAATGGCAGATCAACTAGGCTACACATCTTGATTTAAATCCTGTTCAAAAATTTACTCATTTGTATTTTTGAAGAGGACAATGCAACTGGTATTAAGAAAAACAGTTTAAGCTCTGATGAATTGAAGTATTATTTATGCATGAAAACCCTGAATTTGTTTTCTGATTATTTTGAACTGATCATTTTCTTCTAGCAGTACAAATATAGGTACCCGTGGATCATCTTGAGAGATCATCTTCAGAGTTCCATCCTCATTCTCAGACTTCTTCAATGTCTTCCTGTGGAAAAATATATTTTTGCTTCTACTCATTAACTGATACAGATAACGATCAATATGCTGGCATCTTTACGGTTTACTAAAAGAGTGCTTTATTTCCCCTGAAAAGGGATTCAGTTAAAGCAACTAACGAATACCTGCATTCCTCTATTATGTGATAAGCTACAATACAAAAAATAAACAAAAATAACTTGTTTATTCTACAAAGAAAATAAAATGGACAGTCTGTATTTTTTGTTTTGTTTTAATCAAGTGCTTTACTTGAGATTAAAAATTATTTTTAGCTCTCTGACAGCCATTTAATGTATTTAAAGTGGAAGGATCAAACATGGCATATGGTAGTTTGTTATTGCGAAATCACAATGAACATAAACCAGAGAAGGCAAAAGCAATGTCTCTCTGACAAATTCACCCACATAGGGTTACATAAGCTCTCCAACTTGACAATGTCCCAAAAATATGCAGCAAAAAGTATTATGGCTGGGAAAAGAAACTGTTCTGATTTTAATCCTACAGAATATTTATAAAGGATCAAAGAGTGTAGTTAAAAATGCAACCTTTCAAACTTGAGACAGTTTCAATTGCAATTCACTCAGCAAGAACGGGCCCAACTATACCTTCATAAAAGCATGTTTTATTGTAAAGAAGGGAAGCTGCTGCCACTAATTAACATAGTGCCATCCTTCTATCTCTTTCTAGTTTTATTTCAGTAACTCTAGGAAAAATTGAAATATTTTTCCTAGATAACACAGACGTTAATTAAAAACTAGAACATACCTGTTACATTTTGCAGCCAAATAACAAATGATAGCTGAAAGTAGAACCCCAATCAGAAAGGCAACAATGACTTGCAGGCTGAAAACCTTTTCTAAAATAGTTTTGGACTGAATGGCTGTGAGGAGAAAACAGAGAGAGAAAACAGCGTCAAGCCAAGTTACTATAGATCAAAGCATAATTGCACTGGCTTCGTCATTTGGCCATAATGATTGAAATGAGACAGTAAAGAATGTCAAAGCAGATGTGACTGGAAGCTGTGAAGAAGTACCTTCTTTTTCTGTGAAGTATTCTTGGATTGTGAGGTTTTCTTTTGCGTCTTCATTTTCATGGCTGCTGTCACATTCAAAACTGACATAATGGAGATTTTTAAGGGATATGGTGACAGTGCTGTTAACTCTGTGGTTTGACACGGTCTTAATGACAGAGTACTCTTTGTGGACCTTAAGCAGAGGCCATGTTATAGTGGGTAGAGGAAACCCCTCAGAGATGCACACACAGGTCAGGAGCGCTGACTGATGCACACATCCAGAACTTTTCAGTATCTTTGAAAACCCTGAAAAAAATTATAAGTTATGAGTGTGAGATAAATTATGACTTAGGCTCTGAGCTTCATTACTGATGTTTACTTACAAGACACTTTTACATCAGCATATACAGACACTGTTTCATTCAGGTGATTCGCTGTGCAGACATATTGCCCAGAGTCCTCAGTTGTCACATTCGAGATGACAAGTGTTGCCGATCCGGTGTTATTTTGGGAGTAAATCCCACTTCCTGAATGTCTAGTCCACACAACAACTGATTGAGGAAAACTTTCAACGTTGCAGATCAGATTCAGATCATCTCCTTCCTTCACAGTAGTCTTTCCATTGATTTGAGGTTGTCTTTTATCTATGGGACCAACATTACATTTTAAACTGTATTTTTTAAAGTAAGATCATACTCCATAATGTATAATGGATACTGGATAATGGTGTTTGGAGATAGCTTTGGCTCACAGGCTTTCAGTAAAATAAATCAGTTATATTACAAATGGGAAACACTGTGAGGTGTTTTTTAGAAACTAGAAAACTATACATTTAAAGCTTATGATATTATGTGAATAAAGAAAAATGCCTTGTCCTTTATAAAAATATTCATGATTTTCTTTCACTTGCAGTGTTTGACATAGGCAATGATCCTTTTGGAACATCTTACAAAAATTATTTGGTGTTTGGCTGGGGTTTACTTGGTTCCAAAGGACACTCTCACACAAACTGGGTAAATATTTCTCAGTTTGTAAGAACAAACTTCTGGTAAACATTAGACACTGCAGGTTCAGTATTTACTGTCACCTTAATTCATATTTGTATCCACATTGATTTTAAACATCCAGTGGCTATAGTGATTCCTTAAATTTAACTGAGGAGACAAATCACAAAACCAACAAGTTTTCAAATAATATACTCACAGTTTACTTTCAGGGTCACAGTCTCCTCTGTGGTTATGCCACTTATGAAGCTGACCTTACAGGTTACATTGGTGTTGTGGAGCTTAGCTGAAGAGTTAAAGGTCAAAATCGAACTGTGCATATGTGACACAGCAGTCAGATTCTCAGTTTTAAAAGAAGCAGTCATGTTTCCTGTAACATTAGCTTCCATTTCTCCTTTTCCTCTCCACATCCAGGTGATGTTAGGAGGAGACCCAGAGCAGAGACCAGGAGCAGTGCAGGTCAGAGTGGCCTGCTGTCCCTCAGTCAGTGGAGGAATCTTCAGTGAGGGCCTTTGGCTAAGATCTGATGGAAACATGGTTGATGAATAAAATCAAGTGGAGATATCATTACTTATTTTACATCTGAATGGAACAAGCTAATTTTAGCTTAGCTGATGCAGTTCCTACAATCTGCCAACAGAGGTCAACAAACACTGACAGTTTCTTGTGAGTTATTTTAGACACTACAAATACAAATTTAAACCACGTTGCATATATTTATACTAATCACTAAATTGAAGAACCAAAGATGTTCTTATTATTGTCTTTCATACCTTTAACAGAGAGACTTGTTTTTGAAAGGAACGTAACTCCATCTGACGATCCATGGTAAAGACCATTAACTCTGAGCTGATATGATCCAGAATCAGATGTGGTGAGGTCATTGATCATGATGCTGCAGTTCCTCTGACTCACATCAGGATCCAACAGTAAAATCCGTCCTAGAAATTCTGAAGGAACCTTGTCACGATTTATGTGAAATACTATGTCAGAGTCACCACATCTCCTTTTCCATGATTCACATTTAAACCAGACAATACTTTTTGGTGTAAACCCATCAACAGTGGTGAAGGAACATGGTATCACAACACACAATCCGGCTTCGGCTGTAATTACTCCCTCATTGAGAGAAATGCAGTATCCATTGTTACAGTCTGGTTCTCCAAGGGCTGATTCAACTGGCAATGTGAAGGAAAAGACCAAAGTAATTATATATTTGTTTTTGTTATAACTCTACTACAAAACCTTTGCAAACTGAGGATACTTCATCAAATCAATCATTTTTATTAGTACAGAACCAAACAAACTCTGTAAATGTTTCAGGATTTATACGCTTTTTATAAACTTAACAGGGATAAAAAAACATTTTGTGATTACATTTATCAGCAAATCAAGATAATTTAATATCAAAGTGAAATATTGTCACATAAAAATTGCTTTAAGCACTACATAATAATAAAAGAAAATGCTCCTCATACCTCTGTATGTGGTGGAACCCCACAAAAAGAAAAGCAATGTTGTCCAGAAGACACTAAACATGGTTTGATTCCTTGGTGGTTACTCTCCTGTTCCTTCAGTACAGCATGAACTTTTAAAATGCAGAAATGGATTCAGCGGAAAGTTCAGTTTTGAGATGCCAAAATATAGCAATACAGGATGTTACTTTTTTTTCCTCAGTTATATAATTGTGACATGCCTCCGAGGGGAGTGGCCCTTTCTGGCAGCCAGCTAAATTAAGATTGATCTTAGCAACAGATTAGTTAAAGGCATAATTTGCATTACCTACTAATGCAGTAGTCTTTACTATCCTGATTCAGGATGATTTTAACCCTGGTTTTCATTCACGTTTAACAAGTTACCTTATACTTTTTCTTGCAGACCAATATCTGATAAAAGTATGAGGACTTAAAGAACTTCACTCTATAGAAAGTATCATGAATCATTGTTTTCTTTATTTTTTTTTGTTTTGAAAATTTCCCAACACATTCTTCACTGAGGTTTGCTCTGCTTTCCTTCTCTTTTTTTGACTCATCTCCGTTTTGAGCAACATCAGCATTTCACAAAGTTTGTTACCACATTGTTAAAAAAAAAAAAAACTTTTTTTTTACAAACATAGGCTGTGGCCCTGATTTCTAAATGACATTCTATGCTCATCGTATTTTGAAAAAAACAATACTTGTGGAAGCAAAATTATATTATTGTAATTTTTACTATTGTAAATTCACAGAATTATCTCCTTAAAGCTGACAGTAGACCAGTAAAACTCATAGTTGATTAGTCATAGAAACCATGCATACTCTGGGACATTTTAAAATTTTTATTATTTATGGAATACTTGAACACAGCACTAATTTCTCTTCAACCCCTGACAAGAATAACAAGGGTTATTCTTGCCAGAATAACCCCTGTTATTCTGACAAGAATAACGGGGGTTATTCTTGTCAGTGCTCTATGTGTAAACTTTGGATTAACTCTAAACTTTGGATTAATGGTACTTATTGAAAATCTATCAGAAACAAAACCCAATACTTATTGTGAAATTGAGTCAATCTTAAAAAATTCTAAAAACAACAATGACATTTTCCAGATATATTGGTACCAACAAGTATGTTTATTATACATTTACTAAAAATGAATACAATAAAAATATATAAACAAAATATGCCACATTTGATCTATGTCATTACTTTTATGTTATTTTTTTAGTCATAGTTTTGGCCTGCAGGATCATATGAAAATATCAAGTACAGTGGAGCTGATTAATGACAGGACTACAAATCAAAAGGGTGAACGATTTTGTGAATGACATAGTGAGAGTATCCCAAAATAAATATAAATATAATTGTATGTAAAAAGTTGTTCTTTAAGCTTCATCAGATACTATTTGAATACATCCTGGACATGTTCCCCAAGTCATAGAGTCTTATATGTTCTTTTTATTCTGCCTTTGAATTTTCATGGTGGTGGGTAAAAGGTCCAATTTCACATTCAATAAATTGAATATTTCTAGTGCAGATTGTAAAAATACAGTAAATGATGCATGTATTTGCCTGATTCACTTTGCCATAACAAGCATTAATATAAGTTCAAATGTAGCAGTTTATAAATGCATTAAAAAGAGCTGTACAAATATACCACACGTATACTAACTTATACATAAATGAATATATGAAATAAACAATTTTACAATTAATCTCACCCAATAATTTAAAAAAAGAAGTCCATTGAGTTTCATTGCACCGTGTTGACATCCTGCCATCCTGCATAATGGACCCATTTGTCAAGTGCCTCAATGCGCGAGTTGTAAATGCATCATATTGAAGTCTTACATGTAGATTTTATATTCTACACTAAAAGAATAGCATTCATAAAAAATAAGTCTATAATTAAAACGTGACATTTTAAAGACATGATGGTTATGAAAACATCAACATGGATCTATGAGACATCATAGATGTCTTGTTTGAAGTCAGAAAACTTGGGAGATTTTCTTGTTCATTGGTTAACAAGTATTTGGTCTGCCTTTTATGCATTTAAACACTAAACCAATATCTTTACAGATAGATGTTCTGAACTATGATTTGTGCATCTGGTTTCAGGAGATAGAAACCATGACTATCACTGTATTTTATAATCATGGCATCTTTATTGTATTCTTGAGCTTTAGGGGGTTATTCTGTGATTCTGTCTTGGACATCTGGTCTTAATTTTCAACTCTCCTTAATTAAATCTTCCACTTCTGCATACTCTGGTTCCTCAGCCTCTTCTTTCACTTCTTGGACACAGTTTTTCATCTCGCTATCCTCCTCAGTTATTATCTCCACTTGATGCCCTTTTTTCTTGTTTGTCTTGATTTCTGCATATTCCGTGTTTTTGTTTTCTGAACTCTTTATCCATTTTGTAGGAATCCGGTTTAGAAGGGAAAAGTCAATGCTGGCATACACCAATTCCTTTGGACCATTGGTAGCTTCAGGAGTTCCTGCCAAAGCTTCTTTCTTTTCTGTCTCTTGAACAGGTTGGCCATTCAACATCTGCCAAGTATAATGAAAAACACATCAGTAAAGTTGAGAATTAACAATTAGTTGTAATTTGCTACCAAACTGTCTTTACCTGTAATTCAGGTGGAGTCAGAGTTTTTTGTTTTCTGATTTGCCTTTTCATATAATCGCAGCTTTAACAGTTGAAAAGCTATTCTATACTTTTCGTCATTCAGAATCCAAATATCAATAAATTCAGATTAATTCACATGTTTCTCAGTTTGGATCTGAAAATTGTTTGTGTTCTCACACTGTCATCGATTTAATACATTTAAGATCCCATTGAATTTGACTTTTCACTATTATTCTTTTATACTGCTTTTTTTTTACTGAAGAAGGAAGTCAGAATAATGTTGCAAATTTAGGGGGTTGGTGTAACATGCAGGTCTCCTTTATGACCAACAAAGCTGCGATTGTTCTCTATTTCTGCAGTGCTGCTTTATTAAGAAAGCACCCTCTACAGGCAACAACTGGCCAACTTGTGAAAGATCAAGTGATTCAGTGAAACTTGCGCAAAGTGACACAATTGTTTTTTTTAAGGGTAGAAAAGGAAAGGGGAGACTACGTTTAAATTTTTCTCACAAAATAATCAGTTGCTCTTAGAAGTGTAACTTGCTTTTTTAAGACTGTAGAGATAAACAGCTTCTCACCCATGTGGTAAATCTGAGCATGGGTTGCTGTCCATTTTATGTACAAATCTGTAAGAAGTATATTTTACAATTTTAAGAGACGTGTAGAATATTAAAAACTATTTATGGTTCTGAACCCCCCCACATTCTGGTATTTACATAGAATTACATTAGAATTATTATCTATTATTTACACGTTATTTAGATATTTTACTTCACAGATAAACACAGAATAATCATTGATATCAATACTTATCATACCAGTGGCGTAATCATCTCCAGAGATTCACCCGCATTTTCAGAGTTCTTCTGTTTTATTCTGAGGAGACACATTATCTTTACAGTAACAATTTAAATATATGTTTATTGTTGAAAATGTAAATTAAGTTATAAATGTTTGATGTACCTGTAGAATTTCATCAACAAACAGTAGATGATAGATGCAAGAATGAACCCAATAAAAAAGGCGATGATGATTTCCAGCATGGAACTTTTTTCTGAATTAGTTGTTTGCTTGTTTACTACATTGAGAACAGAAACAAAATATGACACAACTATTGCTTGCTAATGGGTAAAAATAGCTCATTTAAGGTCAAGTTAGCATAATTATTTCCAGCTGTTTTTGTAACTGAAAAACTTGACTTACTTACATAGCCATCTGACCATACTGACGGCAGAAAAGCACATTAAAGGAGAAGTTAAACGTAGCAGAAGTGTAAAAGCTGCAAAAATGTACCTTCTTCTTTTGCCCAGAGGACTGTGAGCTTTTCTTTTGCTTCCCCATTTTCATTGCTGCTAACGCATTCAACACTGATGTTGCCATGGTTTTTAACCATTATGGTAACAGTGCTGTTGACAGTGTGGTTTGACACAATGCTGGTGATGGAGTACTCGGTGTGGTCTTTCAGTAATGGCCATCGAATGGTAGGGAGAGGAAATCCCTCACTAAGACACACACAGGTCAAACCGCCTGGCCGCAGCACACATCCAGAGTCATTCAGCACCTTTGGAGACCCTGTAAACATACAATGATCGTCAGTTTAGGATAAACCATGTATAGTTTAATTGTGCATAAAATATTTCCTCTTACAAGTCACTTTTATGTCAACATATTTAGTCTCGGTGATGTTCTCATATTTTGCTGCACAGCTGTATCGTCCAGAATCTTCTTCTGTCATGTTGAGGACAACAAGAGTAGCAGATCCATTGTTGCTGGTGGAACTAGTTGTGTTGCTTGGCTGTATGCTGAGTGAATTTTTAGTCCACATGATTAATGATGGAGGAACACTGTCAACACTGCAGGTCAGATTCAGAGCATCTCCTTCCTTTATGGTTTGGCTTCCAATGATCTGAGGTCTCCTTCTGTCTGTGAATGACATACAATTATTTTTAGTTGTTTTATGAAATACACTATGTTTTAAGTTTAAAACAAAAGTATGTCTAGATGATAACATTTAAAGCTAAAGATTCAAATAGAGCCCAGAACAAGATAGCTAAACTAAATAAACAATAAGCAAAATATAATAAAAAGTTGTTGAGCATCAAATTATTTATCTTATTGATTTTGCTGATGAACTCGCTCTAACTTACAATACAATGAAAACTGAATTAATTCCTTACTGATCATTTTATTGTAAAACTTGATTTAAGATCTTTGATGACTGAAAATGAAGGGAACTCAAAACATTTTCTTCTTATTCTCACACAACCAACAACTTCCCCTTTGGAAAGTCTTTTTATTGCTAAGCATATGAACACAAAAGCAGAAGAGGTTTTGCATATCGTCTGCACCTCTCTGTCTCCAGCATATAGCACTGTGGTAAAAAAGAGAAGAAAAAAACAAACAGAAATTATACAGTACTTACATGTAACTGTTACATTTATTTCTTCTGTTAGAGTAATATTTGGGATATTTGCTGTGCAGATGTAAAGGCCTGCATCTGCTGCTGTAACGCTATTGATGAACAAAGTGCCACTTTGTTCTTGCTTGCGATTCTCACTGGTGTTCTGCAGTTTCATTGAAATATTAGTCTGCTGCTTGTTTCTTTCAAATATGGTCAAGTTGATAACTGAGGAGGAAAAACTGTCAACAATGCAGGTCAGATTCCGAGCCTCTTCCTCATCAGCTGTTGTTCTGACAGAGATATGAGGCTTTCCTATATCTGGGAAACATATTTCAGTCAAATATGTTAAATAAAGATAAAGAATATACACAGTTGCACTATTGCTACAACATGTAATGTGAAACTAAAAAATACCAAAAGTTAACTCAGATTTATTTCCTCAGTTTTTGGAAATGATTTTTGTTGGAACATACTTACTTGCCACTATATGATTCTTTTCTTCCATGGTACTGTTATGATACGTTGCTGTACAATTGTAGCGCTCTGCATCATCCATTGTTTCTTTCGTGATGGGAAAAGTGACATTTGCCAGTTCATTTGGCACATAGATGCAAAATGTTTTACTTAAGGTATCTATTTTTAGATTGGTTTCTGTTCCAGATTTAGTCCATCTGACAACTAGTGGCTGAAAACTGCCAACACTGCAATTCAGATTCAGAAGATCTTCCTTCACAGTTGCATTTTTGAAATCATCTGTGGATCACAAAATACAATTTTAGAAAGTGTAGTTTAGCTTACTTAGACTTTTACAATCTATTGCTTTTAAAGTCAACTTGAAGTCAGTGCTACAGTATGTCTTGCAAAACTAGACCTACTTTATAACCTTTATTACATTATTGTCACCTTATACCTATAGACTGCATTGCATAGTGCCTTCCAGAAGAATAATGACTCTTGAACTTTTTGTATTTTAGTAAAACCAAAATATCTTTATTTAATTGATATTGTTTTTGTAACATGCCTAAACAAAGTAAGACTTTATTGTGTAGTGGTGGAAATTTACCACAGGACTATTAAAATACTTTAAAAATAAAAATCTTAAAAGTGTAGTGTATTTGTATTCAGAATAAGCTTTATTGCCAAAGGTTGTGTGAACAAAGCAGGAAGTTTACTTTATCTTTTTAAACATCCAGGCATAAAGCACAAACATTCGGCCTCCTGAATCCTGATGATAGTTTGTAAAATCAACATTTACTGTTCTCACAGCTACAAACTTTCTCTAATCTCTTTCTCTGGCTCAAGTTCAGATACATTTAATAGTGCATTATTGAAAATAAAACTTTGGGTTTTGCCAAATTATCTAAGCTTGATTCATCGTTGGACTTTTGCTGGGCCAGCTTAACACTTGATTTTGCTTTGACAGAAGAAAAGCATCCAAAATGTTATTCCTGACTTGTCAGGTTTGTATATTTGTCCTCCGGATGCTGCTTGTTCTCTAATGTTCTTTAACATTAGAGGACAATGTTCTCTAACCCAACCCTTGTTTATCCAGGGTTGGGTCACAAAGGCAGAACAGCTGTTAAAGCAGCTGTTCTGCCTTGACAGAACAGCTGGAGTAATATGCAGATTAAATTTTCCTGGTGAACTCTGTTGACCAATTAGGTGACTTCTGAAGGCAATTGTTTGCACTAGAATTTAGTTATGGGTAAAATAATAAACAGTTGAGTTGAAATGTACACTGTACTGATTTTTATTTCAAAACAATCTTGAATTACGTGTTTTTCTGGCTTCATAATTGTGTTATATTTTGGACGTTGCCTTATTTTTCTCTCCAGAATAGTTGAATTTGAACCATAGCTTGTCATCATTAACCGGGGAGCCTTGTTTGAAAATATAAAAATGATTTATAAGAATTAAATCCTCATTTAAAAACCATAGTTCAGTATAAGTGTTGTGCCACAAACACTTCATCTGATGAAAAGACATGCTTGCTGAAAATGATTAAGAAGAATATACTCACATGTTACTGTTACTTCGATTTGTTCAGTTTGATTATTGATCAGGTGTTTTGCAGTACAGATGTAAAGCCTTGCATCTTCTGCTGTCACATTAGTTTTGGACAAAGAACCATTGGCATCTTTCCCCTTCATGGTGTTTTCAGTGCTGATGGAAGCACTAGATGAATAGTTGGGATGCTGGTTAATTTTTGCTTCTGCTTTAGTCCACTTGATAACAGCGAGAGGGAAGCTGTCAGCACTGCAGGTCAGATTCAGATGGTCTCCCTCCTTTACTGTTGTTCTACCAGAGATCCGAGGTTTTCTGAGGTCTGTGAGGGCAGATATTTAATACAAAGCATAACAAGACATACAATTGTATTTTAAAACAGATATGTGATAACCCCCACAAGTGTTAAGTATTCTAAAGAAATAACAAAACATTACACATGAAATCTCCAAATACTGACTTAGAAACCTAGACATGAGTTTTATTTCTGAAAATGTACTTACAATTCACTTTAACATGGATTTTTTCTGTCATGCTATCATTCTGATATGTTGCTGTACAAATGTAACATCCAGCTTCTTTTGCTGTTACATTCATGATGGAAAAAGAGGCATTTTCACTTTTTTCCTGTCCATAGACTACTGTGCTGTTATCTGCTTTACTTAAAATATTGTCCTGCCAATTGATTTCTGTTCCAGATTTAGTCCATTTAATAACTGATGGAGGAACACTGTCAACACTGCAGGTCAGATTCAGATCTTCTCCCTCCATGACTGTTGTCCTGCCAGAGATCTGAGGTTTTCTAACATCTGTTGAGTACAGATTAAGCAAAATGTTTAAACACTTTTTTGTAAACTAATGGAACACCTGAGGTTGAAGCTTAGATATCTATCCATTATCTTTTGTTTATCCAGAGTTGGGTCACAAGGACAGCAGCCTAAGTAGGAAGACTTAGACTTCCCTCTCCCCAGTCACTTAGGCCAGCTTTTTCAAGGCATTCCCAGGCCAGCAAAAAAAGATCCACCCTCCAGGGTGATATGGGTCATCCACAGTTTCCTCCCTTTGGGATAAACGTGGAACATCTCACTAGGGAGATGTCAGGGAGGCATCCTAACCAGGTATCCAACACACTTAACTGGCTCTACTCTGACTTCCTCCCGGATGACCGAGCAACTCATTCAATTGCTAAAGCAGAGCCCAGAAACCCAGAAACTAATTTTGGCCGCTTGTGTTTGTGGTCTCATTCTTGAGGTCACTATTAAAAGCTCATGACAATAGATGAAGTTAGGAATGCAGATCGACTGGTAAACTGAGAGCTTCCTCTTTTAACTTGGGTCTCTCTTCACCAAAACTGATAAAGCACTCACATCACTGCAGATGCAGCACCAATCTGCCTATCAACGTCTCGCTCCATTTTCCCTTCAATAGTGAATAAGATTTTGAGATACTTAATGCTTAATGCGTCCACTTGAGGCAGGATCTCAAGTCCTGATGTGAAGAAAGCACTCTACCCTTTTCCTGCTCATGATCACGGCCTCTCTCTATACTATAGAGCCTATAACCTTTGTTCTACCAGAGATCTTAGGTTTTCTCAGGTGTATTGTCAGATATTTAAAATAATGCATTTTAAAACAGATATTTGATGACATACGCAAGTGCTAATTATTCTGAAGAAATTACAAAATCTTACACTAAATAATCCTGACTTAAAAGCCCAAAGAATTAGATACCTTCTGCAAATTCACTATGAAAATGTACTTACAAGTCACTTTAACATGGACTTTTTCTGTCATGCTTTTATTCTCATATGTTGCTGTACAAATGTAACATCCAGCTTCTTTTGCTGTTACATTCATGATGGAAAAAGAGACATGTCCACTTTGTTCCTGCAGGTAGACTTCTCCACTGTCTGCTTTGCTTAAATTACTGTCCTGCCAATTGATTTCTGTTCCAGATTTAGTCCATTTAATAACTGATGGAGGGACGCTGTCAACACTGCAGGTCAGATTCAGATCTTCTCCCTCCATGACTGTTGTCCTGCCAGAGATTTGAGGTTTTCTAACATCTGTGGAGTACAGATTAAAGAAACGTTTTAAACATTCTGTAATGAATGAATAAATCATGTGAGGCTGAAACTTAGATCATTGTATAAAATTGTCTGAGAAACAGTGATTCTACACCCATTTCACTGTTACATGAATTTCTTCTCTGAGAGTGTAGTTCAGGGGTTGTGCTGTGCAGATGTAAAGTCCAGCATCGTATTGTCTCACATTAGTGATGGAAAACGAGCAACTTTTTTTTTGTCGCCGACAGATTTTATTGCTGTCATACTTTTTAGATACATTGTGACTCTGCTGTTCAGCTTTTTTATAGATTTAGTCCATTTGATAACTGATAGAGGGAAACTGTCCACACTGCAGGTAAACTTCAGATCATTTCCTTCTTTAACTTTTGATCTACCAGATTTCTGAGGTTTCTTGCATCTGCAGAGCCAATATTACAAAATATTTAAACTTTCAGTAAAGCAGAAACACAAACAACGTCCTTTGGCCAGCAACAATTGGCAATATGTTATTCATATACCAATTAATAAATCAAGAAAGCAATTTAGATTGTAATTTGTTGTGGATGTATTTATCTAAATAAATGTATTTTTTCATGAAAAATCTCAGCCAACATGCCACTGTTATTTTAATTGTTTTTCTTAGGGTGTTATTCAGCTATTGTTGTAAGTTGTAATTAAAACATCATCAGCAGGATTTGTAAGACAATAAGGTACTCACATGTCACATTCAGACTCACAGTTCCCTCTGTAGTTATGCCCCCTGTGAAGGTGACTTTACAGGTTATAAAGGTCTTGTGGTGATCAGCTGATGCATTAAAGGTCAGAGTTGAGAGGTGTCTCTTTGTGAAAGCATTCAGATTCTCCGTTTTTAAAGCAGTAATGTTTCCTATGATGTAAGAGTCTTCCTCTCCTTTTCCTCTCCACATCCAGCTGATTTTAGGAGGAGACCCAGAACAGAGACCAGGAGCAGTGCAGGTCAGAGTGGCTTGTTGTCCCTCAGTCAGTGGAGGAATCATCACAGAGGGCTTTTGGTTCAGATCTGATGGAAACAGTTCATTGAATGCAAACTCACAAAACTTTTTATCATCTTGAATTCGATGAGACAGATTGAAAAACGGGATATTGTCTTACACTTGGAAAAACAAAACAAAAATTTTACTAAATAAACTTTTGCAATCTGATCTCAGAGGTAAATAAAAATAGTGAAACAAAATCTGAATATTTAGAATACAGGTAGTTTTTTTCCTACCTGTTACTGAGAGATTTGTTTTTTCCTTAAATGTAAATTTATCTGTGGTTTCTATCCCCACAACTCGGAGCTGATACGATCCAGAATCAGTTATCTTGAGATCATTGATCATGATGCTGCAGTTCTTCTCAGTCATGTCCGGGTTCAGCAGTGACACCCGACCTTCAAATCCAGACCGAATGTTTTCCTTGTGTTTGTCGGAGTGAAATATGGGGTCAGAACCTTGACATTTGTCCTGAGATGGTCCACATTTGAACCAAATTATATTTTCAGGTTCAGAGACAGAGGTGAAAGAGCAAGGTATCACAGCACAGAGTCCAGCTTCTGCTCTTATTTCATCCTCTTTGAAACCAACACAGTAGCCCTCCTTTTGACAGGTTTCTTTCCATTTTAATGCATCTGTTAGTAAGAAAAACAAGTAATTCAGGATTTGTTCATAAATTATTTCAATGAAATGAAACAATGCCAAAGCAATTCCTGACAAAAGTTTCTTGTGATTCAGTATCTATACAAACCAGATATAATTTATAAGATATTTAAAAACTAACGATTAATCTTTCCTTATGTTTCAGCACATAACAGAAAAACTGCATTTATGTGCAAATTTGTGAAACAAACATATCAACTACAGGAATTTGCCATAAATATTGTTACAAGCAAATGTAGATACATATACATTTAATGTTTTTATTTTTAGTATTGATTCATGTTCATGAATTAGACAATTCATACATTACCGTTAGAAGGGAGAGACGCGATTAACCAGATGAAAACAAACATCCTGATTTGAAGCTTGAAACATTCAGTTTCTTCCAAACAGGGAAGAAACTTTTATCCAGGAGTTTCAGAAAAATACTGAAACTGAAGCAAAGTTCAGACATAACATCATAGATACAAGGCAACATTTCTCTTCTGGATTTTATTTCAGTATTGCTGCATTTTATGAATGTCTGAGAGAAGCTTTTGCTGCCTAAATATGACTTTACATATTTTCAGTAAAGACAAATAAATGTGATTGTGAATAATTAAAATTTGTAATCATCAGGAGAATTTATCTACAGTACACCTCTGTGGCATTATAGGGCTGAATTGAGTTTTAACTTTGTTTAGCAAGATAGTATTGATTTTTCTCTTTAAGTCTCCCTCACACACCCACATACACCCACACAAATATTAAATTATTTTGTTCATTAATCTGATGAGAGCTAAAGCATTGTGTTAAAGATTTATTTACCTCTTTTTCTGTCCACCTTTCCACTCGTCTTCAGTGAATTTCTTCACAGGCGTCTGAATTGCCTTCTTTTCTCTTTCATATTGCTTCCCTTTTGTGCTGCATTAAGAATTAGGAAGTTGGTTTGTGAGCACTTTTATGAAAAATGCTGCTCAACCAATGAGACTGACTCATTGGTTGAGTAGCCAATGAGTCTGACTCAGGCTTTATAGTTTATAAAGCCTGAGTTTATAACAACTAACAATTCTATCAAAGTCATCACAACTTTAATATGTTGTGATAATGCATTATTTCTTTTCATTATTTCATCATCATAAATCATGTACTAAAAGGTTGTTTTGCTTTATTTTTATGATTAAGAACATGGAAAACTTTGACAACAGTACTTTTTATGAGGAAGATGGTGGACGGCTTGAGGCTCTTCCTGCCAGCCCCTGGTGCTGACGGGTGATGTCATGTTTGGCCACGTCCCTCCAGCTGACCGACTTGCTCACTTGGAGGCTCATAGGAATACACAGATAAGACTGGGGGATAAGATCGACTTCACATGGAAGTATTGGCCGATCTCCCAAAATGAAGGAAATTAGCCCTGATAAATTGATCATTTATCATGTTTGTGATTCAGTGTCACAAACATGATACTGAATCATGTTTGTGACATGATTCAATAATGGTTGCGCTTCAAGCCTGCCATTTCATTTAACTTCCTCTTTAGAGCCCATATTTGCAGAGACTTAAGAGTTTGATCATCTTCACTAGTTTTTTTAGAAAAACCATTGCAAATGTAAAGCCTATATACAGTACTTAGTCCTGTGGTAGAATCCCTGCTTCGTCTGTCTCAGTCAATGTGTCCTTAGGCGAGACATTTCACTCATTTCACTGCTGGTGGTGATCAGAAGGCCTGATGGCTCAGATACATGGCAGCGTCACTTCTATCAGACTGTCTCATAGTAGCTGTCTACAACGTATCTTACCACAATCATTATGAATGTGCATCTGCATGGCTGAATGAATGATTATAATGCTAAACATTTTGGAATAATTTCATTTACCGGCCACTTACTTATTGCTTTAGACACCCAACTACAATGGTGCTGACACCAATTTAAGTAAAGGATCATTGCGAAGTTGAGTGCTGAGTCCTCTACTGCTCACTATGTTGCCTCATGGTTGTTCAGGAGCAGCTGCAGGTAAAGCAGCCAGTAAGTTTTCTGGTGACACCATAGTTGTAGATCTTAGTCTTGGCCAGATCTCTCTCGAAAAAGACATTTTTAATCTCAATGAGACACACCTGGTTACATTCATGTATCCATTGCCAACAGCTCCTTCCACCTCTCTGCAGGTTTGAGCTAGAGAAGGTGACAGTTTCAACTTTCTGTGGGTTTCATCTGACAATCCAGTGTTGACGCATCAATCTTTCACAATGCTGCCCCCCTCAGGAACAATTATGAAAACTAAATCTAGGGAGTGACATGTTTTCCTTGTGTAGGAAAGATATTATGTTTTGTTCCTAAAAATAAATATATTTTGGTGAGTGTCAATACATTTTGACACTCACCAAATTTTGTCATGCCCCGTTTGCACACAACTAAATAGCCAAACAAGAAATCTAAACATTAAACATTTTAGGTCTGATTTAAAGCTTTTTTGAGTCTTGTGCAACAAGTTATTGTTTATTTGTTGATATATTTTTTCTGGCCTATATAACATCTGCATGTGTAGAACGTCTTCATTATTGAAGTAATTAAGGGAAAAATTTAATCAAACAAAAATAATTATATAATTTTCATTGTTTAGTTTTACTGAGCTTCTTTCTGTGAAATGTGTGTTCAAAACAACAGTTTTACAATTTTTATCCAATTGTAACTGATTTGTCCTGTGACAAGAAAAGTGACTTGTTCAATCCAGTAATTATTGAAGAAAAATTTCTAACATTTATGTGTATTAAAAACGTTTTTACTCGATGATGGCATCCGCTGTCTTCTGTAGTTTGCTGCTCATCAGCAGCTGAGAGGAAGTGGTTTCTAAAGAAAGACCAGTTTAGTGTCTAATAACAGATTGCATCTCAAGATCTCAGTAACTATTTTTAAATAGTTTTAAACATGTTTAAAGATGGTCAAAACTGCAGGCTGTCATATATGAATATATGTAGTGGTAGATATCACTGCTAATAATAAATGATGATTCATGCAGTTTCATGCATGAATCAGCAGTTTCATGCCTGTGTTTTACACAGGCATGAAACTGCTGCATCTTTGTGGTGTACAAAAGAACATTACCGTATTTGTACTTCCTGCAAGCAACTGTTAGACTTTATAACTCTCTTTATATTCTAAAATTCTTTACAATTTTTGTAAATACTATGTTGTGTTTTTCTTATGCAAAAATGTACATTCACATTTTATATTTTTATTTTCCACAGTTGCAAATTTCTTTGAATGTGATTATACTGTTTTTGAAAATTGTACAGTGTAGTTTTATGCTATAAGTTTTCTCTTTTTGCAGAGTTTGTTATTCTTACTTTCTTTTATTTTTTTTTCCGTCTTTGTCTGAATGTAGATACTTTAAATTACATGTTTCTTTGCTGCTGCTACCAAGCCAAGAGACTTTAAAGGTTATTTTTATTCTACTCTAATATTCATATTGCAGTCAGTCTAGATCTTATTTCTGATATATAAGTGTGAATTGGTCATCTCAAGCACCTCCTTTTTTGTGCTACTTCCTCATTTAATGTGGTAAAAAATGAAAAACATAATCAATAAATGCTGACTGCTGAAGCACATATTTTTTATTTACATTATAAATGCACTAGAAGAAGTAGCATTTTCTTTGCTAATTTATTTAAAATTTCTTGCACAGTTACATCACCATAGATATTAAAACAACAGTAATTTTTTTTATTTATTTTTTATCTTCACCTCAGTGGCATCTCTATTTCTCATAATGTCTTTCTGCATGTATGGATGGATAAAAAGTAAAAAAAAAAAAAAAAAAGCTGCAAATTTAAAACAGAATCTATCAACCCATCAAAGATAAGACTGTTTTGAAATTAAAATGTAATTTGGTAAATTCAGGGTTTTTTTTTTTCTAGGTATGAATTTTCTTCTTCTTCTTTTTTTTTTTTCTTGAATGTAACATTTACTCATGCTTTTTCTACACCCACTATCCTTGTAGGATTCAGAGAGGTCTTTACAATTTTTCTAGCAGTCCATAGCTGAGACACAGACTGAATAAATCAAACAAATATACACACCTAAAGTTCAAAACTAATGTAAAATCACCTTTAATGTATTGTACAAGAGCATCAATGACTGCATAATGTTTTATTTGTAATTTATATTAGAAAAACAATTTCCTAAAGTTTATACACAACATATTGTATTTATGATCTATCTTATTCTGATGCTAATGCTGTATTCTTAACAATTTTAGTGGGACTAATTTCTCTTCTCCAGGAAACATATATGACCTGTCCTTTTCTGTCGTGTCTAAAACAGTAGTGATATGAATCTAGTTTCAGCATGTAGCATCCAATTGACAGTAATCCCTGTCAACATTTCAGTGTGGTCGATGAACAATAACACCATACTCGGCTCAAACATTGGCTTTTTGCATACACATGTAAATTTGATCATCTTCAGTGGGTTCAGCCTTTTTTCTTGTGTTCTTTCTCCTATGAAGAAAAGGAAAACATAGTTGCTGCAGCCTACATACAGTAATTGGGCCTGGAAAGGGGAAAATACTCAAAATGTGACTCACCAAATGTGGTACAAGTAGATCATAGAGAAAAGATGCACACTGAGAGAAACACCAGCAATGACCCAGGGAAGAGCTCCACCGACACACGCACAATGTTTCACATGATTGACTGTAAAATACAGAAATACTGGTTAATTAGAGTTTCTGAGGAGCATAGCTTGAATTAAACATGTCTCTCAAATTAAGGAAGCATATAAATTTGACTTACTTACAATTCACTTTAACATGAATTTCTTCTGCCATGCTGTCATTCTGATATGTTGCCTTACAAATGTAACGCCCTGCTTCTTCTACTGTTATATTCATGATGGATAAAGAGACATGTCCACTTTTTGCCTGCAGGTAGGTTACTGTGCTTTTATCTACTTTGCTGAAAATATTGTCCCGGCAATATGCTTTTTCTCCAGATTTTCTCCATTTAACAACTGATGGAGGAACGCTGTCCACACTGCAGGTCAGATTCAGATCTTCTCCCTCCATGACTGTTGTCCTGCCAGAGATCTGAGGTTTTCTAACATCTGTGGAGTACATTTTAAACAAAAGGGTTAAACATTCTGTAATGAATGAATAAAACATGTGAGGCCAAAACTTAGATCATTGTATAAAATTGTCTGAGAAACAGTGATTCTACACACATTCCACTGTTACATTAATTTCTTCTCTGAGAGTGTAGTTCAGGTGTTGTGCTGTGCAGATGTAAAGTCCAGCATCTTTGGCTGTCACATTAGTGATGGAAAACGACAAAATTCTACTTGTATCCAGATGACAGATTTCTTGATGGCCATGCACTTTGATTAGATTGTGACTCTGATGTTCAGCTTGTTTTGTAGATTTACTCCAGCCGATAACTGAGGGAGGGAAACTGTCCACACTGCAGGTCAGATTCAGAATATCCCCCTCTTTAACTGTTGCTGTGCCAAAAATCTGAGGTTTTCTTACATCTGTAAAACAAAAGTAAGAAAAAGTATTTTAGCTCTCTGTAAAGCAAACACACCAAGAACATATCAAAAGAACATTGGCCAAATTACACCAGTATATAATGAATTAAAAATGCATTGTACAATGTAATCTAGATCTGTCATCTAAACAAAAATATTTTTTCAGGAAGATAATCAGATATTTTGCTGCCCAAATGTAAAGCTTTGTTGTCACCTCAGAAATACTAAAAAAATACTCCTTTGGTAATTCAAGATGAGAAACTGTCAAAATTTCATTCAGAATCTCCCTAGCCCCTTAACAGTATTCACAGTTATTTGAATTTCCTTCCCAAGATGAAAATAATAAACGATTAAAAGAAAAAAAAAACTAAGCATAACATAAAAGAAGAACATTACTGAGCAAATGTTGTATTTAAAAAGCATCTTCAATAAGAGTTAAAAGATACTAAGGCACCCACATGTCACATTCAGACTCACAGTCCCCTCTGTAGTTATGTCGTCTGTGAAGGTGACTTTACAGGTTATAAAGGTCTTGTGGTGATCAGCTGATGCATTAAAGGTCAGAGTTGAGAGGTGTCTGTTTGTGAAAGCATTCAGATTCTCCGTTTTTAAAGCAGTAATGTTTCCTATGATATAAGAGTCTTCCTCTCCTTTTCCTCTCCACATCCAGGTGATTTTAGGAGGAGACCCAGAGCAGAGACCAGGAGCAGTGCAGGTCAGAGTGGCTTGTTGTCCTTCAGTCAGTGGAGGAATCATCACAGAGGGCCTTTGGTTCAGATCTGATGGAAACAGTTCATCAAATCGATCATCACAACAATGGTAATAAGTATGAGCTTGGCAAGACAGATTGACTAAATATTTCCTTTTTTTTGTCAACAATAAAGCTTCAACAGTTTTCTCTAAAAAATTAAAAAAAGGTACAATTATTAATTTGCTTCATAAAGTTATCTGATGTGGGAATTGTATACTGGAATGTTTCCTACCTGCTAATGAGAGATTTGCTTTTGCAAGATATGTATATGCTTCTCTTGTATTGTTTCCCTCAACTCGGAGCTGATATGATCCAGAATCAGATTTCTTAAGATCATTGATCACCATGCTGCAGTTCTTCTCAGCCATGTTCAGGTCCAGCAGTGACATGCGACCTTTGAACCCAGGCTGAATGTTGTCTTTGTTCTTGTCAGAGTGAAATATAGGGTCAGAATTGTCACATTTGGCCTCAGTTGGTCCACATTTATACCAAATAATGTGTTCGGGTGCAAAGAGGGATGTGAAAGAGCATGGTATCAGAGCACAGAGTCCAGCTTCTGCTCTTATTTCATTCTCATTTAAAGTAACACAAAAACCTTCATGTTGACAGAACTTTTTCCTTTGCAATGCATCTGTTAATTAGAAGGTAAGTAAACTTTTTAAGAAATTATTTCAAAGAAATGAAAATAGATCAAAGTAATGACAGTTAATTCCTAATAAAAGCTCATTGTTAGTCAGCGTACATACAAACTGCACGGTGATTACAAACATTTTTAAATACTAATCTTTACATTCTTTTATTTTAATGTCTGCACATGAATCAAAAACTGTATTTATTTACACATCTGTGAAAGCTATATATGTCCTTTTGAGGATTTCCCAGGAATATTGTTACAAACACATATAGACACATATAGTATATTTACGTTTAGTATTGATTTATGTTTACAAATGACAGGATTCATACTTTACCGATGTACGTAGGGAGACACGTGATTAACCAGATGAAAATAAACGTCCTAGATTTGAAGCTTGACATATTGAGTCCATTCCCAACAGGTAAAAAACTTTTACTTAGGAGGTTCAGAAAAATACTGTAACTGAATAAAAATAAAGTTCAGACATAATATTGCATTTAATACAGCATTCCCATACAAGTAGTTATTCTGACAGCATATCTACTTCACAGAATAGTTAAGATAAATCTTGCTGTTAGTCAATTATTACTTTTCAGTAAAGACAAATGCATATAAATATGAATAATATTTATATTTGTAATCATTTTATTGTTAATTTCATTCAGCAAGAAAGTACTATTTATCAGTCTGATAAAGCATTGCATTAATCAAAAATGTATTTACCTCTGTTTCATCTTCAGTGAATCTCTTCACTGAAGGTGAAACTGCATTCTTGCCTTCTTCCTATATTTCTTCCTGTTTATGCATCATTAAAAATGGGGAAGTTGATTGTAAGTATGTTGGCTATGTGCAACTTTCAGAACGTTGTTTTTAAGCTTTTAATTCACAGCCATTCTTGAACTTAGTGGTCTACCATTTGCATTTAGCTTCTTATTGAAGAAATAAATAAATAAATGAATATTTGAGGAGACATGCAAGTTTGATAATTCTCAGTGGGCTTTGCTTTTTTTTGTATGTTTCTTTGAAGAAAAGAAAAACATTGTTATTGCAAATATACAGCCTGTACAGAATAATTGGGCCTGGAAGCACAAAATCAACACAATGTGACTCATCAAATGGGCCACATGTTGATTAGGTCCTTTTTTGTCAGACTGCCCTCAGAAAGCTGTGGCTACAATATATTTATGAATGTATGAGTGAGGGAATGTAGTGTTGAGCATTTTCGGAACCTCTGCACTAAAGGCCATTTACTATTTATAAGCACACAACTGCAAAGATGTCCATTCCACTTTCAGTGAAGGATCATTGCAAAGCAGAGTGGTGAGTCCTCTGCTGCTCATTGTGTTGGCTCGTGCCTGTTCAGCAGTAACAGCAGGTAATCAAGATGGACTGCGATTTCTGATGACAACATTTGGAGTTGTCTGTCTCATTTCCTTTCTGCAGGTCTGAGGTTTCACAGCCCTCTAGGGAACATGGGGATTTTTTTTTTTCTTTTGTGTTACCAGGCAATAGGTTTTGCATGCTCCTCCAATAATGCACTAATCAGTTCATACGGCATAACTGAATACTATAAGCTTTTCTTACGTGGCCATCATGCTATTATATAAGACTTTTGTGAGGTTCTTCCATGTGTGTTAATATCTCGTTGTGAAATATCTGATGTCTTTTATCTTTTTCTTAAGGATAAAAATGTGCCACAAACTTATGATATAAACAGAAACTTTCCGTAAGAAGAAACTAGAAAATAATAATACATCCAAAATATTTGGACTATTTCTGAGATATTATCACAGGGTAATAACTGACCATTTTGATTACGTCTCTTTTGTGTTGATAGTCTGATTGGTTAAAAGGGCCGTTTGCCTGTGCAATGAATAAATCGAGTTTCAATCTTTTTTTTTTTTTATCAAAGAGTTAATAATATACAAAATAGGCAGTAAGATTGTTACTGTTACGGTTCACGGTTCACTGGTCGATCTCAGGAAGTTCTTGAGTTGATCTTGGCAGTGGCATCTTCTGGTAACCAAAAACTGAACTCCTCAAAAAACTCTTCTTACACGCAAATCCAAGTATTTACTAAAATCCTACATGTTCTTAAAAGACAAGCTTCAAAAGGCTTCATCTGACACGCCCACTTTTTACTCGGAACACGCCTCGAAACCTGGCTTCAGATGTCCCAACTCTAGTGGAGGAAGTTCAACGTGTGTCTCGTCTTTTTCATACTACAGCATCACACGACGAGGGAAGATCATTCTCTACATTAGCTTCATCCATCCAACATCGCAAGATAACAAACTACATGCTTGTAGAAAGTGTTCACACCTAGGGCCAGCGGCTTTCTCACTTGAATGTGTGCGCTCTTTATCTGAAATGTGTGTTCCTTCCTTGAAGCAAGTCATATTAGAGGAAGTGAATGTGTTTTTTTTTTCTTTCTGTAAGAAAGGGTATGTGTATGTGTTCAACTCGACTCTGTTTTCAAAGCAGGGCAGATCTCAGTGGGGTACTAATCTGTTTTCCGTACTGGTGAGAAATAAACTGACCAACCATAGATCTGTTCTCATCCATCTTTATTTAATGACGAGCTGTGAATGACACAAATCTATATAATATTCATAATTATTGTTTATATACATATAATTATCTTTATGTAAGCTCTAAGTGAGAGTGATCTCTGGAGGCATGTTGGTGTGGTCGTTGAACAATACATATAATTATCTTTATGTAAGCTCTAAGTGAGAGTGATCTCTGGAGGCATGTTGGTGTGGTCGTTGAACAATAACATCATACTCTGCTGATGCATCACGCTTTCGCAGAGACATATAAGTTTGATCTTCAGTGAGGTTTGTTTTTTCTTGTGTTCCTTTGGAGAAAAGAAACACGTTATTTCCACTGTACAGTCCATATACTTCATTTGGTCTGAAAAGCCTGAAATACATATCATGTATCTTACCAAAGGTGCCAAATGTAGATCATACAGAAAACATGTACACTGAGTGAAACACCAGCAATGACCCAGAGAAGAGCTCCAAAACCAGCAACACAACGTTTCTCATGATCAGCTGTAAAATTAGAGAAATACATGTGAATTGGGGTTCCTGTGGAAGGGAGTTTGAATAAAGCGTTTGAATACTTTTGATGTAAGGAAGTTTAAAAGTTGATATGAGATGAACTCAAACATGATGTAATGTTTTGTTTTGATATCTGAATTTTCCCAAACCTTACAAGATTATACATAAAGAACACTGTTTGACATGGAGGAGAAAGAGGAAATAAACATGTCAAACACAAGCTCTAAGGAAGTTGTACCTTCTTCTGACAGCTCTCGATACACCATGAGGTTTTCTTTGACTTTCCAATTTTCATTGCTGCTAAAACATTCAACACTGATGTTGCCAGAGTTTCTAAGAGATAGGGTGCTGTTCACTGGGTGGTTTGACACTGTGTTGATGACAGAGTACTCAGTGTGGTCCTTTAGTAGTGGCCATGTGATGGTGGGTGAAGGAAACCCCTCACTGATGCATACGCAGCGTAAGACCTCTGCATGTTGCACACATCCAGAGCCTTTCAGGATCTTTGACAACACTGTAAGCACATGTTTGTAAAATATATCATAGTTGTGGTACACTTCTTAAATATAGAATTGGAAAAAACATTGAAACCCACAAAGATACAGAACATACTTACAGCTTACATTCAGAAAAATTGTCTCTTTTGTCACTATGTCTCCAGTGAAGTTGACTATACAAGTTACATTGGTATTGTGGTCCTTAGCCGAAGGTTTAAAGGTCAGAGTTGAGCTGTGTCTCTGTGTGACACCAGTCAGATTCTGGGTATTTAAAGCAGTCATGCTTCCTGTGATTATATAGTCCTCCTCTGTTTTTTCTCTCCACATCCAGGTGATGTTAGGAGGAGACCCAGAGCAGAGACCAGGAGCAGTGCAGGTCAGAGTGGCCTGCTGTCCCTCAGTCAGCGGAGGAACTGTCACTGTGGGTTTCTGATATAGATCTGATGAAGACATGGTTGATAAATAAAATCAATGGGTGACATTATCAAGTATTTTAAATTTAGATGGAAGAAATACATTTTGAAGCAACAAAGTATTGAACATGTTTATCTTAACATTAATGAAGTTTCTTTGGTCTGTAAAAGTTTCTTGTGAATTTTTAGACAGAGAATTAAAAAGAAACGTGAAACACAATAAAATGTATATTGATTGAGTACATCAGTAAATTAACAAACTGAAGTTGCTTTTGTGGTTGCCTTTCATACCTTTAACAGAGAGAGTTGTTTTTGAAAGGAACGTAACTCCATCTGGCGATCCATGGTAAAGACCATTAACTCTGAGCTGATATGATCCAGAATCAGATGTGGTGAGGTCATTGATCATGATGCTGCAGTTCCTCGACTCACATCAGGATCCATCAGAAAAATCCGTCCTAGAAATTCTGAAGGAACCTTGTCACGATTTATGTGAAATACTATGTCAGAGTCACCACATCTCTTTTCTGTGATCCACATTTAAACCAGACAATAGTTTTTGGTGAACCCATAAGTGGTGAAGGAACATGGTATCACAACACACAATCCGGCTTCGGCTGTAATTACTCCCTCATTGAGAGTAATGCAGTTTCCACTGTAACAGTCTGGTTCTCCAAGGGCTGATTCAACTGGCAATGTGAAGGAAAAGACCAAAGTAGTTATATATTTGTTTTTGTTATAACTGTGACATCTTCAATATAGACTTTGCAAACTTGGGATCAAACAAATAATTTTTATTAGTGCAGAAACTAACAGTGTAAATGTTTCAGGATTCATAAGTTTTTTAAAAAACTTGACAGGGATAATTAGACTAAACATTCCATGATTATATTTATCAGCAAAATAAACTTATTTAATATAAAAGCAAAATACTGTCACATAAAAATTGCTTTAAACACTACATAATAAAAAACTGTTCCTGATACCTGTGTATGTGGTGGAACCCCACAAAAAGAAAAGCAATGTTGTCCAGAAGACAGTAAACATGGTTTAATTTCTTGGTGGTTACTCTCCTGTTCCTTCAGTACAGCATGAACTTTTAAAATGCAGAAATGGATTCAGTGGAAAGTTCAGTCTTGAGATGTCAAAATATAGCAATACAGGATGTTACTTTTCTATTCCTCAGCTATACCATTGCAACATGCCACCAATGGGAGTGGTCCTTTTCTCCAGCCAGCTAAATTAACATTGAGCTTTGCAACAGATTAGTGAAAGGTATAATTAACACTACTAATTGCTAACACGGTAGTCTCAGTGCAATTTTCACTGGAACCAACAGTGCATCCAGTCGTTATTGACTGATCAAAACTTCATCTCACCCTGGATACCAAGACAAGCATAAAAAATGAGTGAACAACCCAGCAGCTGATTTATTTAAAAGCCAAATCATTCACTTTATTTTAGCTGCTAAACTGAAACTGTAATTATATAAAATCGTTTGACTGTCCATTGCTTTGTGCACATCAGTCTCAAACATGTTTAGATAATGCCAAAGGTTTTATGCAGACTTGTGGTAGACTGCCCTCTGCTGGCTGTTACTACAAGAAGAGTACTGTAATGCAGTGGTTGCCCTGCTGACAGCACTCTTCCGCCGAAACAAATGCACCTGTCAACCAAAGATTACATACTATTTTTTGTTGGTTTGTTTATGATGTACATATTTTAATGCAATTAAAACTTGATGTTTAAAATTTGAAAGTGGCTATTTTACCTGACAAAAACCTGTTTGCCCACACAAGAAGAAACATGTTGAAGTAACGTTTGAAATATTAAACTACTTTCTCCACAGGATACAGTCTACTGAAGCATTAGAATAAAAGCAAATCCAACATTAGGTCTGAATGACTCTTATAAAACTTTTTAGTTTTATAAAGAGTAAGTCTTTCTGAAAAAGTTTAAAATATTGCGACGTTTTTCCCATCAAATTGAATGTTGTTGACCTGTGTTGTAGCCTGTCTTCACTGCCCTGACCCATCTCTGTGTAAGTTGGAGTTTTTTTCCAGCTGCTATTTTAAGTTCTCCAGGAAGTTTGTGGAAGTTAAATTGTTGTTTCAGCTAGCTGACTACAGAAAAGGGAAGTCATTGTCAATATGTTGCTATTGATTAGTGATCTTGATTTTAATTTAACTTTGGGTAGTTTTGAGATGAATCATGTTGTCCTTTTGGCCCCTTACGCCACATGTTTGCCACGGTACTGCAGTGGCAGACATTTCACACTGGATGCCCTTCCTGACACACCCTACCCTCATCACAAGATGTGGAAGGAATAGAAGGAGCAGGATTTGAACCCTGGTTTGTGACCAACCTGCTCTAGCATCCAAGTCACTACTGTTCCCATTACGAGATGAATTATCTAAAAGCACAAAAAGGTATTTTCTGTTTCATTTTACTAAAAAACAAAAAAAAATTACCATAATTTTGTTGTGTTTAAAAACAGCACACCAGACAACATATTGTTTTCTACCAATAACCCACTGTTGTTGTTTTTTGTGTATTTTTTTGTCTTTTATTTGTATTTATTTGTAACAGAAGACAGATGAATTTTGAATTGCTTAAAATAAAACAGAGCAAACCATATAATAACAAAACTGTCATCCCTTTGCAATCTCTCTGATAAGTTGCAGAAAGATTGCAATTATTGATTTGAATTATTGTGTCAGAATATCAGAACTGTAGAAAAAAATCTATAATGATAATAATGATCACAAAGTATTGGACAATTTAACTGTACAACACACTGTGACAAAGAATTAGGTGTATTTAATACTGGTATGAAAAAAAAAATACAAATATAAGAGGCATTGTAAGACTGCAAGCCAGCATGGGTGGAACCCTTCATTAAAGTAACAAGAACACTGTCTTAATAAAAGGCCAAATTAATTTGAATTGGTCAAAGCTGACAATATTTCCATTCTGTAATAAACACAACTTTAAAAATATTTTGTAATAGATGTGCCATTCTCTCCACACAGATTCTGCCCTCTCTTGGTGGCAGGCCCTGTATAAGCAATTACTTTTTTTGGGTCATTATTTATTTGACAAATGTCCAAATCGGTCAGAATATTTCAAACTGGAATCCTACATATCGATTTTTCACACTATATTTTTGTGCGGTACCTTTGTGATACCTTGGATAAAACCACTGTACTATTGAACAATTATGACTAGTGCATCCATCACTTTGAGGTGTTACAGAGGAAGTAAAGAGTCAGCTTCCTTTGGGAAATTTATATCTAGTAAGACTTCATTTGGAATCACTTAGCAGCTGTTAAATGCTGTCTGTATTGCATGACTATTGCAGAGAAAAAAAAAATCATGCCAATAGAATCCAAAACAAATGTTGTCTATCAAAACCTGTGAAGCGTGGAGAGATGTAGGTGTAATTTGGAGGCGTGTCCTTATTGATCATTTAGGGAGCTCAGAATAAACCAGCTTCTATGAATAGAAGGTTATATTCTGGAGTGGTATTTATGGAGAAAGAAAACTGGATTGTTTGTTATAGGTGGTCAGTGAGATTATTTTAGTTAAAGCCAGAGAATTGGGAAACCTGAAGCAGAAAACTGACATTACAGAGTATTTTGATGATAGGAATCCTGCCTGCATGGTGAGTGTGGTTAGGATATAGCTTTGACAACATGACAAGACCACTTGAGATGTACAAAGCCATGCAGGTACACACCAACCCAGCAGGATGGATGCCATCACATTCCTACGTGTCCAAAGCTGGGTTATGACATATTGCTAAGAAAAGATTTGTGTGCATACACCAATCAGTCAAGGAACTCTCACAGTTCATGCAACCCCACAGTATTCAATCCCGGCATTTATTCTGGCTGATTTTCAAAGTCAGTCTGGTCTTTATCCGATGAGAATAGTGCCTAGCATATATCACAACCCTGAATTTATTGTACATTAGGGAGTTTAATAAAACTGAGGTTTTAATAAATATTTTAAGCTAGTTGATTTTAATTTGAAATCAGTGAAATTAAGCAGGCAATTTTCTTCTGAATTTTCTGATTTGACTAGTTAAGTTCAATATTGTTTAATATTTGAAGCCTATATTAAGACAGTGTTTATCCAGACTGGCTCTTGAAATGTGTAGCGAGACTGCTTTTAAATATGTCAAACTGGTGAAACACTCATGCAAAATATGTTGTAAACACACTGCCATCATCTTCTTCATAAATATACATCAATTTTATTTATTATAAGACATCATTATCAAGTTAGACTATTAGTGTGCTTTAATATTACATCACAGGTTCATCAAATGTATTTTAGCAGCACAACCAGTTGACGAGTTGGCATTACTTTTTTATTCATAAGTTTGATGCAATCCTGTGGAAAAGAGGAATCCATTTCTGTGGGAAGTTAACAGATACCCCACAGATCACAGACATCTGATCTTTCGGCACAATTTCAACACACACGCATACAAACACACACATTGTCTAGAAGAGATAACACTTTGGCCTCACACACATTTATATGTTGCGCTTTAGGTTTGTATTTTCTAGAGTGTGTGAGAAAACATTTTTTGGAGAAGAAAAAAGACATTTTGCACTTGCCACAGTAAGCAAAAATTGATATAAATTAAGGGGAAATGCTTGAAATGAATTGTGGCAGTTTTTATAAGTCACTTAATCTTTCAAACTGCTGTCGAAAGTAAGTGACACATTTTTGTTTCCTGTGTCGACTGAATTCCACAACATAATAAATACAGTAATGATGAGGCAAGGTACCAAGCTATATAACTCTGTTGTGCCTCAATACATTTGAGTGCTTAAGATGTAATGAACCAGAACCACAAAAGAGGGGATGTAATCTCTGTTCAGAAAACTGAAGAAAAACACAGTAACTCCTTGCCCTGATGCTTCGACTGGCAGCAGACGCAGTGACAATAGTCAGACAGATCAAATAATGAGACAGATGAGACACGGATAATTACAAGAATAAAAAAATATGAAATGATGTAGAAACAATGTACAACAATTGAATCTTGTAATTGAAATAATGTATGATTTTGTCCTCTGAGTCCGGCTCCATCCTGGAGCATATAAAAAGGATATTGCATAAAGAAAGGGGCACCTCAAAGCGGGAGGCCACTGTCAGGGAGTTGTAAATTATACATAAGGATAAAAAATGAAACGGTGAGTCACCATAACCAGGGAGAAATCCAGTGAAGGAGTTAATAAAAGTTTTTGTTGAAGATGTATGTAACTCGTGGCTGCCACTGCGTCTCGCATAGCCGAGGGATCAGGGAAGGATCGCGATTCATTTGGCTTTGATTTCTGTGTAGTTGCTGCCGTCATCTCCCCTCCCGGATGGCCCCTCCCTTGGCCTGGCGCCAATAAACTCCAGAGAAGCATAATTCAGCTCTTGCCTCTCCAGTCCTGCCACAGAGCCCACAGGTTGGTAATCGCCGTCTTCTCCCTGCAGACAGGAGGAGCATTCACCGCCATGAACTCTCAAGATCCAAGGCATGGACAAAAATCAGTTAGGAGTTACTGGTTGACATAATGACAATAGGACTGACGATGTTTGGTGTTAATCTTGCGGTTTGTGTTACAAATGAGAAAGCCATGCAGAAGGCCTTTTCGTAAACAAATTAAAATGAACAGAAAAGAGAAGCTCATATGCAAGGGGTGCATCTGTCTCTGTGGCTTGTGTTTTAATAGGGATTCGTTTGGGAACCTTACCGTAGTCTCCTCTAGAATGGAGTTAAACTTTGAGCCCAACAGCTCTGTCTTAAGCTGTGCAAGAGTTAGGGGAGAGAAAAAACAGACAGAAAATGCAGAGAAGCGATGAAAGCAGGAGAAAAACAGTGTTTCGAAAGGTCATTGTTGGAGTTATTAGACTGCTAGTGGGAGAGATTACTTCATGACCTCTTTTCAGAGCTTAAAATGGGGTCTCATACTATTTTCATTACACAAAATGTTAACCCCAAACATTCTGAGAATGGTCGTTCAACCCCTCCGTATTTATAATCTTAATGATTGACATCATTATGTCTCACCACTTTCTTCCTCAGATTTTGTTTGTCCTTCTTGACTGCGCTGTAGTACAAAGCTGGGTTCTCCAGGACCACGTCCTGCCTAGGGTTGCCATTCTCTCTGGGGGACGGAGTCACATAATCAGACTCGGTCTCAACTGCCAGTAAAGCTGGGCGACACGCCAAGCCTGGGCATCCATTTTAAAACAAGCTGTTTAAGGTTATGCTGGAGACCGTCTTTGGCTGTGAGTGACGTGGTTATTTGATGGGTTTAGTCGCTGAGATCGCTGTTGTACTGACGAAAGCTTGCAAATTTGAGGATCGAATGAGGCCTTGGGACTTAAAGCACCTTGGTTAAGAGGGCTACCTGGGTTGTATTTAGCACAGCAGGTCAAGGATACGGAAGCAATGTCAGAGCAGAGAATCATGCCTGCAAAATATAAGGTTAGTCCAGCTTGCTTACTACCTCCACAAGGCAGCCAGTGTGAATTTGCAAAGATTTCATCTCAGTTTTGTTGTAGCAAATAAACTTAAATTGCTTTAGACAGAAGATTCTCACGTCCACATCAATCCCACATTCACTCAAATACAATCTGCATACATGTGTTTTAGAATGGATGACTAGGCTTAAGTGTTTCCAAGGATCTCATAAAATTCTTGGTAAGCAAAACAAAGACTTCCGTCTAACATTGTCTTCTCCATCAGTTTGTTGTTTATACTCACTTCTTGTTATTCTGGCCCACATATCTCACTGCTGCAATAATGAAGGCAATGACTGCAACTCCTCCAATGGTGCCAACTATAACTGCCATCATGTACTTTTCTAAAAACACAAAGGTGAACTCGGTAAACTGACAGTAACATTTGCACAAGTATTGAACAGATAATGTTAAGCCCAAAATTATCCATACCAGTGGACTATTTTGAATATTTAAGATTTTTTTTTTATTAAACCAAAAAGTTTGTTTATTGGTTTAAATCTGCTCAACTGTAGTTCAACCAGCGATCATAATCTGGACATGCTACAGTAAATGCACAAATATTGTAAAAACTATATTTCTCATAAAAGTTTATCTTAAGCAAATGTAACCCAATAGTCAGTCAAAAATGTAACTTAGTTCTTTGCTTTTCAGTGTGAAAACAGTAATGCAAATAAGCTGATATGATTTGTTCCTACTACTTTTAGACATAACCTCATTAGTAGTTCTAGTGAACTTCCAAAACATTGAATCTGGAAATTTATTTATGCGTTTACAATCAACATGTTGAAAACCTTCTCAAAAAGCTAATGGTCATTTATGGTCTTTTACTGCTAGAACACCTACAAGTGATGGAAGGCTTCCCTAAATAATTTCTTTATTGAAAGATAAAGAGTTTCTAAGTTATCTGAGTTTAAAGGAGGTATAATCCAGTTTAAACTAAATGTAAAGGGCCCACAAGCTCAGCCCTAATAATACCATCATATACCAGGAACAAATTGTAGCCTGGGCGCTTTCTGCATGCAGTTTGCATGTTCTCCTTGTCTTCTCTGCAGATTCTCTGGCTCCTTCACACAGTCCAAAAACATAAATGCTTGGTCAACTGGTCTCTGTAAATTTTCCCTGTAAATTTTTGAATGAGTCCGTGTAGGCATTCAGAAAACTCCCAGGAGGAAGATTATTGGAATACAACAAGGTATATTGGGATGTTTCACATCCTAAAAACAGTAGTTGTTATGTTACTGAAGCAGGAGAAATAGTGCTTTATTTGGGATTTATTTTTGTTGGGGATCAATACAGATTTAATTTACTGGAGCTGAACAGAGTGTGTGTGATTAATTACAGTCTCCGAGCCTGTTGTAATGAAGGGCTAACATCAGCAGACTTTTTAAGTAATCCAAGAAATCAATACAGATCTGGTGCTCAGATCTGAATAAATAGATATTTAGAATCATTAAAGCCATCTTAAAACTTTCACTAGGTTGGATAGGATAGATTGTGCATTGCAATGTAGGTGTTGTGCTCATGTCATGCAACAATCAAAATACCAGACAAATGAGATTCTAACCTGGATGATTGTACAAACACTCCAAAAAGGTAACTGCTAAAGAAACGGCCAGCTGTAGGGTAGCACATTTGAAAAGGGTTGCATTGTGAATTTATTTATTTTTTTCCCATCAGCTTTATACCAATGTGAAAGCATACCAGGGAAAATTTATTTTGGGGAGAATCTGAAAGTCAAGTTGTAGACGAAATCTCCAAAGAATTATGCATACCATCCCTACTTTTAAATTCCAGAAAATATACACGCCTGCAACATCTGGTTTCAGTTATCACTTAAAAGCCATTTGCAATCCTGAGAGCATATCTCCTTCAGTATTCCCAAGGTGTGCCTGTTGTCATAAGAACCTTGTACTCCACAGTGGACCTTAGACAAACAGGAACTTTGTGTAAGGGGGTGTGGAGTGTTAATGACAAAAGGTCATGTCTCCTAGAAAAAGTCTGACATCTATAATTTGTTCAAACACATAATCTCAGGCTCTATACAAGATGAAACTGTACTAGCTTCATCTTGTATTATTTATTTTAGCGGAAGGCAGCACACTGACAATGGTTTTGCTAAAATGTACAGATATTTTTTCTCCACTCCTCCCTGTTAAAAAAAAAAAAAAACAGTTTTAGTTTTAGTTGCTTAAAACACATTAACCGTCTGGTTTTGCTGTAAAAAATAATAAATAAATAAATAAAAAAAAAACATATTTCATGTTTTTTCACATTAAAATCAAACTCTTGAAACTGTGTTGGAAAAAGGAAAGGACATGAAAACAGTCAAAGCGAAATGTAAACTCTTTACACTCACTTTCTTGTTGGAGCTCCAAAAGGACGCTCTCCCTCCCGTAGATGTTGTACATGCTGCAGTGGACGTTCACGGCCGGCCCGTTGTTGTCGGCCCGCTCACCTTTCTCCCGTAGTTTGATCATCGCAGTGGATGTGTGACCGTCCGTGTGAGTATAGAAGTTGAACCGACCGTCAGTTTCGTTGATGGTGATGTTGAGGTCAGGCAGGTAAAACTCAATGGTGGGCTCAGGGTTTCCCACAGCCACACAAACACACTGGACGCCCTCCCTCACTACTGTGCACTTTGACTCCTCAAGAAGCAGAGGGGCATCTGTTCAAAAAAGGATAAACAGATATAGAGGTTGAAAAACAGAACATGCCTGTAAAATATTTTAACACGATCAACAAGTTGTCAATGAAGTCAGCTTCTAATCACTGTAGGCTAGATGACAATTAAAGGTTTCTACAATCGCCATTACAATATTGTATTTCTATAAATATACTACCATAAATTTGCCAATGAGAATAATCCAGGATAGTGAGGCACTCACATTCCACAGTGATATTGAGGGAAGCGCTGGCTCGTCCATGCTCATTCTCTGCCAGGCAGCGATACTGTCCTGTTTGCTGCGGTGTGATATCCATGATCTCCAGCACCGAGAGCTCGCCAGCAGTTATAGAGCCTGCCAGCTCCCCATCCTTCAGCCAGGTCAGGGTTGGAGCCGGGCTCCCCATGGTGTTACAGTGCAGGGCCAATGAGGAGCCCTGAACTACTGTCATGGAGTCGTTCACAACAGGTTCCCGAGGAGGGTCTGTAAAAAAACACAAAAAAAAAACAGGGAGAATTTGAGTTTGTTTTCATATTTGCTACTCAGAATTTGAAAAAAAAAAAAAAATTAAATACTGCCGATTATCAAGAATGTTCTCACAGCATATTTGAATCTGTCAGTAGTTTATTATCATGTTATGATAATGTTTTTCTGGAGGCTACTTTTTGAAAAATATATGAAAAACAGACATGCAGTACTTTCAGACAATTAAACTGATGTAAAAGTAAGATATAAAAAAGTAAGTATTTAGTTGTTTAAATTACTATTTTATTGATTTTAACACTCCAGTCTATTTCTATTGGGCAGTTAAAACAATTTACATGTTTCATTCTTTGCATGTGTTTCACACAAGAAGATCACTTGAGGCACATTGCCTCTTATTTCTGAAGCTAAAATAAACATCATGTTTTGTTTAAATAACCAGCTAGTTAAAAACATGATTTAAAAACATGGCACACACACAAAAAAACATGTTTTTGATATTTGAATGTTTTTAAGAAGCAAAGTGTCAAATTTAGACTAGGATCTATTTGGATCAATCAATACTTTTTTTTTCCTACACGACAAGCTAATCTGAATAACAAATGCAGAAAGGCATCAAAACAGCTTTTTGCTGCAAGTAAGATACTAACCTCTTACAACTTTTGAACCAAACCTCACTTCAAGCGTCCAAAACTGTCTTTTTTTTCTCTGTATACTAGAAAACATCCCTTGCTAAGACCATAAACTGCAGACATTGGAGAGGAAAAAAACAATTGTGCTCTGGAGCTCATTTCCAGTCACCAGACTTACATTTCACAGCGAGGTACAGTGATGTGTTCATAATGCCATAGCCATTGTCTCCAACGCAAGTGTAAATCCCCTCATTTTCAGGCGTCACATCATCCAGGGACAGAGAGATGTTGGACGCTGTGTCCCATAGCACCTCCTTGTCTCCGAACAGCCAGGCGACACGGGGAGAAGGGTTGCTGTCCACTTCACAGTGCAGTGTCACAGAGCTGCCCTCCATCACTTCAGACGATACATTCACCCATACTGATCGTGGAGAATCTTAAAGGTAACAAAAAAATTAGGTCTTTGTTTCTTGGCACTCAAGTTTTCAGAAGTCACATCCAGAAAGGAGACACACACATCACCCCAAAGTTTTCAATGCACTTACACTTGACATCTAATGAGATGAGCCTCTCATAGACCAGTGTGGTGTTGGGGAAGTAGACCCTGCAACCCAGCAGCTGGCCATTGTGCATAGGTCTGGGTGTGAAGATGAGAGTGTTAGAGATTACGGCTGTATTGCTCTCCTCTGTGTATTCAGTGCTGAACACCGGATCAGGCAGGTAGTCGGTGTACATCCACTGGATGTCTGGAGTCATGTCTGGGCAGTTATCAGGAGCGTAACACGTCAGCTCCAGACTCTCGTCACTAACAATCTCCTCTGGTATGTCAATGTTGGGCTGATCTGCAGAACACAGCATAATCATCCTCAGTTTAAGTTTGTCTGGGTTCCCAATGAGAATATTCGCTTTTTTGTTGGCTCACCTAAAACTTTAAGCTCAGCATAATCTGGGTAGGAATATTTGTTGGCTCCACCAACATCCGCACGGAAGTAGTATCTTCCTGAGTGCTCTGTGCCAACATTGCCAATAAGCAGTGTGCAGTTTCTCTGGTTGAGGTCACCCAAAAGCTTGGTTCGGCCCTTGTAGCTCTCATGCACAACGTCTGTGAGTGATTTAAAGACTACAGGAGGAAACAGTTGCGGATAGGGCTGGCCAAAGTACCAAATACCATGAACACCCCGGGCGGGCCTGATACCAGAGGGGTACATGAAACTGCATGGGATGACCACACAGGAGTTTGTCATGGCTGAGATGTCCCGAGGTAACCAAATATTCCACTGACAGTTGGCATCTGTACAAGTAGAGGGGAAAACAGTCAAAGTTGATGTCCATTATTTCAAAGTCAAAGAAAAATCACATGATTTGATTAATTATGAAAATACAGAACTGAATTACCACTGATAATTAACAGCAGAGGTATGAGCAGCTCCAAACACCACATTGTCTTGGCTTAGCACTGGACCATAGACTTCTAAAAGAAACAAACACACATTCAGTTACAGTACAGCAGGACGGAAAAAAGTCTATATAATGTGTATGCTTGGATTATATCAATGCTGATCTGATAAACTAATGACTATTTTGCCCACATTGAAAGATTTACTTAGGAGATCTATTTTGTTTTTGTTACTGGAATGATCTAAAACCTGTATTTTAAATATGTGGAAAACATATTTTGATCAAATTTTACCAACCCTCGACTAAAGTGTGGTGAGGTATCTAAAGCACTTTCTGTCCAAACAAGTGAAGCACTCTTAACAAACATGTTTTGGGTACTCCCAGTGAAGAATCCCTCAGCTCTTTGGACACTTTGGCACTTATGATGGAAATGTAGAGGCAGAAACATTTGTGTGACAATAACCAAAATGATGATGATCCTCCAATTTGCCTGCTCTAAAGGTTTGAAACATCTTTTTCTGAACACTTGAGAAAAAGTCATTTTATATTAACAGCTGAAATGTTCATGACATAAAAAAACAACATATTTTTACATTATTTACCGGTAAACGAATACAATTTTATGTCTTATTCTAGGGGTGCGCCAATTGCAGTTTTTTTGGCTGATCACCAATTACTGATGTATTAAGCTTAACCTGGCTATTCTGATTTTGGCTGATAACAGTTTTTTTTGTCTGAAATGTTGTTCATTATAGCAAGAAAGTTGCTATACTGTTGGCAATACTGGGGTCACTATTGTTAACTGTAAACATACAGACATAACGTGGTGAGCAGGTCTGTCAGTCAAACCTTTCTCACCGGAGAGCAAAAGAGTAAAATGTTGGATTCGAACACATTTGCCAAGCTGGATAAGATCGGCTTCATATGTAAAAATCGGCCGATCATGTATCTCCCAAAATTAAGAAAATTGGCATTGATAAATCGGTGCACCCCTATTTTATTCCCAAGTAGCAAAAGTAAACATTATTGTGCCTCTAAGAATTTCACATTATTACTATCAAGCCATAAAGAGAAATACACCAACTCTGAAAACAGTTCATACCTCAGGTTTTGTGACTAAAAATTATTTTATCCTAAATAATTTCACAATGTATTCCACATTTGATTTTTATGTCTCTTACAAATTAACTGAAAAACAAACCATTTTCTGATGGAGAAAGCAATTCAATAACCTGGTTGCATAAATGTGTAAATCTTTTAACTATTTAACTGATTCAGATTTTTGAGTTCAAGTAAATCGGATGAACAGGAAGTAAAGGTCAGCTGTCCTAGTAGAATTTTCTTAACATTTTCTCATTCACATCCTTCAGCTAAACTCACAGCAAGTGTGGTTACAAATAATGAAAAGAATTTTATTTCTTGACTTTTTCAATGTCAGTTCTTAATATTACCATACTTTGGGAATGCCAGAGTAAAACAGATAAAATAATGAATTTGTTTCTTCTCATCAGATCATCATATATCAACATTCCACATAAAAATATAATTCATAAATTATTTGACAGAGTGGATGTCACGTCACTGTGTAGGAAAAGAACAATGACATTTACAGAGCAAATCTTTAAGATTTTTTTTATAATGGTGATATATTTTCTATGTTTTATTGAGCATCAGAAAACTCTTTATCAAAGGACTGCTTAATGTATTCAGCATTGTTAAAAGTTTTAGTTTAACTAACGTCAGTGGTACTTGTATTATTCTTACTTTACTCTGAATCCACTCATTAATATTAATAAAAAACTTGCACTGACAGACTGCCATGGTCATAACTTCAATTGCGAGATGTAACAAAAATTAAAAACATATTTTTAAGAGTCATTTTGTACCGTTGCACTGATTTGTAACTAGCAGTGTGAGGTAGGTTTTACCTTGAAATGCTGATAGTTCACAACAGACTGAATCACTGCAGCTTATCGACAGCTCCACTAGAGGGTGTTTACTCACACCCAGACAGCTTGACAGCCCTGTTCTCTACAAGAAAGAAAGAAACAAAAAAAAAAACATTACAACTCCCATCACCATGACCTGGCAATTACATCACACTCACTCTGACACAGAGCAGTAGTAAGGCCTGTAAACGCAGCGTCAGTGGGCACCTGCTTGCTCCCCCTCAGTGGAGTCTCTCATGATGGTGGCCATACGTAAGACCTCACAATGAAAGACCCTCACTGTTGGTTGAGTTCTGACATGAAGCCAAACACCACTCATCACACATCATGTCATCAGTAGATTACTGATGCTATTTGTGCTGTGCTAGAATTAAATCAGGAGCGAGGGAGGGACTTATAACACGACTCACTGATGACAACGTGGGTGTAAACAAGTCTCACTGGATACATCAGAAAGTCAAACTGAAAAAATGCCAAAAAGCAAAGCTAATTAAAAAAGGCATATCAAATATTTATTGTAACTTTGACCATTGTTGATTTACAGCTGTAATTTCCACCAAAGTGAAAATAACACGTTAAAAGCTTTGAATAACTTCCATGTTTCCAAACAAAAACAACATTAAAGGAAATTGTAGGCATTTTATGCCTTTTGCACAGATCCAGTGTAAGACCCAGTGTTCTTATATAGCTACAGCAAAAGGCTGTGGGAAGCACAAGTAGGTTAAAAGGTAAACAATCTGAAAACATAAGCTACCAATATGGAGATCAACTGCTCTAAATTTGGCATCACAGTGAAATGTTTTCACACATTTAATGTTCCACAAATCAAAAGTATGTTTTTGAAGAATCTTTAATCAATTTTGTATAGTCTTGAACTTTTTATATATTGTGGATTTTTTGCATGTTCCAACTTTGAAAAAAAGATGCTATTTTTATGTCAGTGCAAAATAATCCTATTTAGGTCTAAGCAGTCTAAGTATTTATTTGGAAAACTACAGGTGGCTGAATGTAGTCCAAATAGCAAACCATCATTTGACATGACTGCCAAGTAGAAATCTACAAATCAGACTGGCCAGCAGCAATGTAAGGCAACTCTCTGACTGTGCAAGCAAGTAAATAATAGGAAACCCACTGGTTTCTGGACTAATATAAAATAATACTGTATTCCAGAACTGAATTTGGGAATGACATCAGGTTCAGCTTAGCCACATTACAGTTTCCAGTCCAGAAACCAGTGGGGTTTCCAAATTGATATCCTTAAAGAACTGGCTACATAGCTGTATCAACATGTTCAGTAAAGAATGCTGTTTGTGTGAAAAATTTATTTCTATGCAAGTCATTACAAGTGCAGCTGCCGCCAAGTTACCTTTCCAAAGTCCTTTACAAGTTTGTTGTTTGCACTAGACTAGACAATCTGATGGAAAGCAATGAGAATCAATTGAATTTTCAGTTTCAGGTGATCACTTAATTTCTTACATTTTTTTAAGCAACCATGTCATTTCCACAAGAATGTTTTAGATATCATAAAAAATTACGACAAACTGAGGTCTTGTTATACAGCTGCTTGAAAATCAGTATGTTGGTACTTGTTATATAAAACTTAGATCAAAAATAAATGTTTTTATATTATTTTAATAGATGGTAAGGGAGTATTTTTTGGTGAAAAATCCCTTCATTAAATTCTTTACCAAACATTGTTTTTTTCTTGTATATCTTGACAGCTAACACCTGACCTCTGATGTAATAATCAGTGTCCAGAAGAACTTGAAATCATGTGGATTTCTTCAAATCTTTCTTACAAATCTTATGAGTCATAATATGGGAGTTTCCACATTTCTACTGTCAGTTTCATGGGTTTCCATTTCTAATATTAAACCTAAATCTATAACAGTTTTAAAATGGAAAAAAAAACAACAACAAAAAAACAACAAATGTTCACCAACAAAAGGATGAAAAATTAAACGTGAAAGAACAAGCAGAGGATTTTGGCTTTGTGCTGCAGCAGCCGGTGTGTGCAGATGGCGTGATTGGGAGTGGATGGTGCTTCAGAGCTTCATGATTAACACATCCCATCATCCCCCGGAGAATCCATGACCAGTATTAACTTTGCTGATGGACAGCAGGGAACGTTTCTGTTTGTTTGACATGGCCAGGGATGCGTCATGCTGCTCATCATGCAACCAAACCTCCAGAAAAATAGCCACATTACTGGTGATATTTCAGCATGTTATGAAGCTGGTCGGACTCCTAAATAGTTCCAGTTTCAAGCTGGTTTGACCTTTAAACTTGCACGCTTGTTCATTTTGGCCACACTGAAGCAGTAGAATCTATTTCCGAGCAGAGCATCCTCACACTGAAGACTAATATGATGACCTTTCTAGTTGTTGACAATTCCAACACTTAGAAATCTGAAGCAATATTAGCACGGAGTAGATGGAAAATTAAATCTCACAAAGTTAATTGTGTTCTAAAGGTGACACAGACAAAGAGATGCTTTATGAGACATTCAGACTCAGGGCAAGAGCCTGGAAAATCTGCACTCTCAATAAAAGGCCAAGAGCTTCATGACTATGATCTGGAGAGAAGGAGGTTGTTCAGTAGCAACAGCAGGAGAAAACAGAGCAGAGCAGCCAGGCATGGCCAGTGACACCACCACCAACCTCAACAACGGCTTCATTGATGGGGCAGACAAACGGCTGGCACAGAACACCCTGCATACGTGTGCACGCTTACAGGGCCCACACAGAAAACACTTGCCTCATACCAGCCTCAGCACCAGGCTCCTGCTGCCTCGCGGTCCTGAAGGCTTCTTTTTTTGTTTTCTTCACTTTGGTTTTGTTCTTGCCGAGCTGGTGGTCTCACTCCAGTTTCCAGATGTCAGACTCTGTGTGTAAGAACACAGAAAACATGGTAATATAGCACTGTTTCTTGGACACAAGAAGAATGAGGAGCCTCCATGGAGCCTGTCTGGAAGTAGGCAGATTTAACTATGTCCTCCGTCATATTCAGATGTCAGTGGCCCACTCAGCATTCCTTCCCTTTGTTTTATGGTTTTCTTATGATGTCTCCATGCCTTGATGTCTGAGTCAGAGACATCAAGGCATCGACTTAGATTTAATTTTTTATCTTAATAGTTGATTTGTTAGGGAACAGCTCATAAGTATTAACAAATACAGCACCTCTGACAAGGGCTTTTGGTTATATGAAAGCATAAAGAGTAATACGCACTGTTTAAAATGCAAATACAAGGCAGAATAAAAATTTAATTCTCATTAAGACTCAAAGGAAATATTCCATCCCTCAGATTTCTAGTTTTTGAGTCACACTTAACTGTTTCAAATGTTTTAAAAATTAACATGAGGTAACCAGAGTAAATACAAAATGCAGTTTATTCATAAAGAAAGGAATGAAAACTAGCCAAAGCAAAATAGCCCTATATGAAAAACTATTTGCTTCTTAAATCTCTTAAGGGCTGTGGTTGTCACTGTTTGTGACAACCATGAGACAACAGCATGTTTTTTTTGTTTGTTTGTTTGGTATTTTTTAAATGCTGTTTTAGGTTTATATCACAGTTACGAAAATAAATGACTTTCAAACATTCACCCCAGTAAGTAGAATTCTTTCCCTAAAATCCTGGGAATAATCAAGGCATTTTTATCTAATATAAAGCAATTATGATAATGTTAATCATTGTGGGGAACATAAACGTAAAACATTAAAAATATAGTTAGAGTAAATAAAAGGGCCTTCAGGTCTTTTGATGGATGGACATGGAGGTTGTTCAGCAGCGGTTTTACCTTTGGATTCTAATTTTATTCATTCTACTTTTTATTGCAGAATCATGAACACTGTCTTTAAATTAGGCAACAATCAATAGGTCTGGCAGTGATCAGGTTCAGCTTATGAAATGTAACAAAACATTGAGGTCAATTCAGTGTCATTGGTTTGCTGAGCTTCTCTCCCTAAATGGAATTTGAAAACTGAAATTTCTTATTAAGAAAGTTGTCTTTACATGATTCTTTGATCTGAAACATGTGAGTGAGACACAAAACACAGAAATGCTGTAAGAGGTATTTATCTCGGTAATAAAGAGAGAAACACAATTTATTAAAATTAAACAAAGAACTGTGCTGATTTGTTAGAACTACATGGCTGATCTTTGCTAAGAAACTGTTCAAGGTTCATAAATAGAATCAAATGGTCACTAAACATTCAAGAAACCAGAAAAGCACTTAAAAATAAGTTTGAAGTTAAAACTTTTGATACTTTTTTTAAAAAGTCCATAATATTTTGCTTCTTGGAAACAGTGATCTGATCTAATAGGCTTCCTGTCCAAGATTTTAATCTTCTAATTATATTTTATCCTCGGAGGCTTTATTATTGCAGATGCAGATTGTGACTAAGAGGTTAAACAGTAATTTTATGTGAAAAAACATTAGCGCTATTCCTGCTTTAGCATGAAGAGAGAAGCAGAGATGACTCAATATCACTTTGAATAAGGCGTCATTAGAGCAACATATGAAGTGTAGGAGGAACTTGTGAAAAATATGATTATGTAAATTGCAAATTTACATTACTTTGAAACACTTTGATCTTTAACTTTATTTTTTCAACTGCATCTGAACAGCTCTATAATTAGAGCCAAGAAAGTGTTTCTATCAGCTTCTGTCTGTGGGCAGATTTTAATGTGATTTTATATCTTTCCAGGCTCATGTAGATCTGATATCTGCCCTGATGAGGAATGTGTGGAGGTGGGGTACACAAGCACAGATCTGCTGAGAGGTCCACCTAGTTTACATACTAATGCAACAAGGCTAAATTGTGTCTCCAGTGAGCAAGGTTCTCCAAAGCCTTTGTTGCAACTGGAGTGCGTCACTTGAGCTGAAAAGCCTCCAGACCAGAGGCCGAATGATGGCATCGAATGAGCTCAAGGGAATCCCTCTGCAAACAGTCTGGAAAGGAGCTGAAGTGAAGAATGTTACATTGAGGCGCTGGAGATGTGGACTAATGAATAAGCAGCATGCCATAACCCCCTACACATGCATGCAGCATAAGGCAAGCTGGCTCAGTCTTTGGTG